GTACGTGGGTTTTTCTCACTGGGTGTCGTTTCTCGTGAATGGGTTCGGGTCTTTTGCTTTTAATATGCAATCGCGTGGCTTGTTGACTTTTGATCTGCATCTTCTCTCATCATCTTGAGGATGGATCTTTAGTTTTAACTCCAAGCACAACCTTATGTTCTGGTTCATGGGTAGCTTTCATGTTGTATCTGGTCCTTTTTTAGCATTTGATTTGTATCAGCAGAGATCCTGTCTGGACTTTGCAATATCATATTGCTTCATCAGTAGCTGGAGCCACTGCTGTGATCCGTCTGCTTTTGATGTTGTTGACTAGAACTGGTGGTAGGAGTACATTTGCTGACATCGTGTATTGACGTTCTGTCTTTTCTGTGTTGCTGATAACAATGAAGTTTTTGTCTCGATGTCTTGCTGTTTTAACTGTTATCGTGTGCGCTGAACATGTCATGCCCGTCATGCCTCCATAATATTTCACCAAAGAGAGCTGTTTAAGCTCTCATTATCAAAAACCTGTCTACCAGTGTAGCTATTGACTGCTTCTTATTCGTTGTGAATCGGTTTCTGTTGTTAATTGGAAGGAAAAAGATCTAATTCAGTTGTTGCGAGCATGTCAGCCTCGCCTGGCAGATGAGTGCTACTGTATTATGTGTTTGTACCCAACGATGGATTCAATCGGTGGACTGTCTACTGCGCAATTATCCAGTACCTACGCACATTTCCTACTTTCTGCCTTGTGTTCTGGGTGCTAAGATGTATTGTAGGAGTAAAACGTTGCCTTGAAGCATCAACTCCGCTTAATAAATTTACGTTTGCCATGTGTTGAACAGTTATCAATTGGTTACGATTTTCTCTGCAAGGTCAATAAGCATATTTTGTTCATGCTACTACTGCCAAAAGTCAAGAATCAGGGCCAGATTTTTTTTCCCTATATCGTCCGATCAGTTCCGACTGGAAAGGAGTAATAAGAGTAGAAAAGAGATGATCTTGTTTCCTCCATTGAGGCAGGAAGTTTCTTTATTAGCTTAAAGTCCTCAAAGGCAACCGTATCTCAGTTATAATTCATGAAGTTGAATCCTATTGCTCCTTTGGGATTCATGTAGATGGGAAAACTGTTCTCCTTTTCTGATGTTTAGCTGTCCTTCGAAAGGTTCTTTCTCTCATTTTGCTATGTTTCCATGGTCCCCATAACTGAACAGGAATTGACACAATTTTGCTTCATTACTGATGCCTTTACTTTCTCAGATTACAAGGGAAGGTTGCCTTGGTCACTGGTGGAGCAACTGGGATTGGAGAGAGCATCGTGCGTCTATTCCACAAGCATGGTGCGAAGGTTTGTGTCGCCGACGTGCAAGATAACCTGGGTCATCAGGTCCTGGAGTCTCTTGGTGGGGAACCTGCTGTTTCCTATGTGCACTGTGATGTCACCCTTGAAGATGATGTACGCCGTGCAGTCGATGAAACAGTCAGTAAATTCGGTACACTCGATGTGGTGGTCAACAATGCCGGGACATCTGGCCCGCCATGTTCGGACATCCGTAATGTAGAACTGTCCGATTTCGAGAAGGTGTTTGATATAAATGTGAAAGGGGTTTTCATCGGAATGAAGCATGCCGCCCGTATCATGATCCCGCACAAGAGCGGTGCCATAATTTCTCTAAGCAGCGTTGCCAGTGTCATGGGGGGCTTGGGCCCACATGCGTACGCCGGGTCCAAGCATGCCGTTCTGGGGCTGACACAGAATGTCGCGGGCGAGCTGGGAAAGCATGGGATACGCGTGAACTGCGTCTCTCCCTATGCAGTCGCGACGGGCCTGGCATTGGCTCATTTGCCCGAGGATGAGCGAACTGAGGATGCCATGATGGGTTTTCGCTCCTTCGTTGCTAGGAATGCCAACTTGGAGGGAGTCGAACTGACGGCCGAGGATGTGGCGAATGCGGTCCTCTTTTTGGCCAGCGACGACTCGAGGTACGTCAGCGGGCTTAATCTCATGGTAGATGGGGGTTTCACGTGTTCTAATCACACCCTCCGAGTCTTCAGATGATCAAATTTGGGACTTGTGCGGTGTACACACCATGCTGTACCTGCCTCAATTGTTGTTGCTTGGATCTTGGTGGGTTGTATCGTCAGATGTGGATCAAGAACAACTTAGTACCAATGGATTTTACCATAACTTAGGGACATTATTAGGCTTGTGCTTCTGCTCTTGTTGAAGATATATTCGAATTATTTCCTTTTACTATCTGCACATTTCTCTAATAAAGTCAACTATCATATCACTATTGGCGGCACCCATGTAATAATATGTAGTTGTATTTAGTGTGAGACGCTTCCATTTCATTGATTGGTGAAGTTTGTCTAGCGGTTCAAGGGACAAGCCATTGAATTATACAAAAAAATTTTGAAAACAAAATAGAAAAACGAAAGAAAGAAAGAAAGAAATCCTATCTTTTACCGTACCAAGTCCAAGTCATGAGTTGGCCAATTGCCGACACGCAACAATTTCAAGGTCATCAATCAGCAATAGCGATCCCTTTTATATATTATCATAATGGTTTCGCATCCGTTACAAAATATTCAATTTGAAACATAATTACTCCACAATGCTTGTGACTAAACATGCGAGATTAGGGAGCTGTCATTGCAGTCTCATCAAAATGTTAACAATTAGGAAGTCTTTTTCAATGAGGCACGATGTATTTAGGCAACTGCAGCACGAGCCGTTCAGAGGCTCGCCCGGAACATGAATTGATCTTGTTACCCGTGGAAGACAGGTGGCCCTTTACCATTGAGCGAGCTACCTTGGTGGTGATATGCCCTTTAATATGGTGTATGTCTATGTATATGCACGTCTAACATGAAAGTATATGCTATAGCTAGGCATGCACAAGACAACACAAAGCCCAGAATAAGCAAAACGGCCGACACAAAGGCCCGCTAGAATATACACACATGCAACATATGAGCCCAAGTAAGACTACGTAACACTGGTAAGTAAGTACATATCCCCGTAAAACACAAACGTATAATCACAGTACTAACACCAGACATGATTTGGATCAGTCCACCATACCAATCACTTCAACAGTCACTCATCTTATCATCAAGAGAATCCTCGAAAAACGACCCTTCATTGACGTCACACAGCCTTCCAAAAAATCACATCGACCCGATCCCGATTTTCTATTCGCATCTCCGAGGCTATGAAATGATATGGGCATCTATAAAAGCTCCTGAAATGACTATGGTCCCCCCAAAATATAAGATTAAGACTAAACAGTACATGAGAACCTTGTCTCCATGTAAGGCTCATGTGTGGGAATCCAGTTAAGGTAAGAGAAATTAACAAGTTCTTGAGTAACAATCTAACTGCGCCTGATGCTTCGATCAGCTTCAGCCCTTGATATCAGTGGGAAAGAAAGTTCAAAGAACCCTTTACATATTATACGTGCGTGGCAAAGGAAATCGTGCGCGCATAAAAGTAGAAAAAGCACAACTGCATCACCGAAAGGCGAAGGGAGACGTTCAAGTCTCGGTCGAAAACAAAGGGAAGATAAGCAAAATTTGAAATACTGCGTGGGACATGTATACGTAATGTATACGAGCACGCCGATGTGGAAATCAAGAATTTTGACGAAGGATGTCCTCTGGTCTGAATTCCGTTGCTATACGTGTCCATTCCATCACTAAAGAAGGTTTCTTTCTTCTCTTTTCTCAAGTGACAAGGGACGCCCAAGGAGAAAGCTCAATTTTTGTTGAATATGATAGGACGAAAGAGGAGCTGAATTTAAGCTGAATTTAAAATCGTATTTTTCGGTATTTAAAGATCGTATCGACTAGTAATGAAGATTGCGCGTACGAACTCAAAACGTCAAGTATTGTAATTCCGTCTCTTATGAACCGTGCATGCGAATTTCCTAGATAACGCATAATTGACGGAGCTAATCTCAGATCGACCACAAGGATTCTCAAATTTGAATAGTAAAAAGGAGGAGATTGGAAAGGTTGACGTCCAAGATGTGATAGGTGGAAGAAGTTCGTTAAGCAAGAGATAGCGAAATGGTTTTAACTTTCAATGGCCTAACTGATGACCAATCGTTTTGAAAAATGGGGTAGGGGGCCGGTGGGCGTTCTTGATAAGGGACATTGAAATTGAAAAAGAGGAAGTGGGTCGATTTGATTTTCCTCCTCTTCTTTTTTTATGCGTTGCTCAGGCTTTGGAGACGATGAAAGTTGAAAAACATGTTGCGGAGAGAAGGGGAGAGGAGCGTCTGTCTGCATTTGGAGCTTTATCGCGGTGGTTCCCACCACCGCCGACCACCACCACCACCACCGCCCTTCTTTTCTTTTTGGGAAATTGCCGCCCACCCATTTGCTTACGCCTCCGGCATCCCCAGTCAACAGTGACGTTTGACATTAAAAATCAAAAACAGGGAAGCTTTGCCGACTCTTTTTAACATACAGTATCAAGGCTAAGCATCTTTCATCTTCCTCTGTTCATATGTCAGATCATTAGATTTTTAGTGCATAGTATGATCTATTATGTGGTTGAACTGATGTTCGAGAAACAAGTGCATCTGATGTGATATCGGCAAGATAAGCTCTGTACCTACTGAAAATGAAGGATCTCAAACCACCATTCCCGTACCCAACTGCAACATTTAAAAATAATACTGGACCATAAGAGTACTCTAGAACTATTTCATGCGTGACACAAGGTTCATACCGCTCTAGAGTCTTCGTCTTGTGAAGGAGGGGGGCATACGTGTAATTATGAGGACATGGATTAGTCTGGGGCCTCTGTAAGGTGAACCCCACCGATACAAAAGATCCCTTGATAAATAAGAAACAGAGTGATTGCGATTTTGCAGATTTCCCAGGGCACACGCACATATCCAAAAGCAATTGAATCCAAAAGATGCCCTTGTTGAAAGGGTCCCCATAGAGACCCGGATGTATGTTAGTGCATGTCAGCATCAGACTATTATCTCAACCTCATTCAAACCCACCAAACATTGCTCACAGATAAGACACAAAAAGGCCAACCCACCTCAAACACCTAAACTTAACCGCACCAACAAGGAATCTTTTCCTTGTTTGGTTTCCTGGAATTCCAATGTGGAAACTAACCTTTGGCTTTCTTTTCGGAAGCTTCACCTCCCTGGTACCGTAGTAAAGAACACCCACCTCGTTTTCTTATTCCCTCTGGTATGTTTGTCCTAGTGGTTTTCTTTTCCTTTGAAGATGGTCCAAAGAAAGGTTGCTGATAAGCTTGGAATCCAAGCTGATCAAATAAAGTCCGAGAAGCTATCGGCGACCCTCAGACCCTCTTCTCATCAGAACCACGATGGCAAAGCCAGAGGGACCGACCTGAAAAAGAAGATGAAGAGATCAAGATCGATGAAGCTCTCCAGCTTCGACGGCTCGAGATCATCTCCCTTCGGGAAGGAAGTACCGCAACCTGGAAGACCGCCGCCCCGCGACGTTCCAACTTCCGCAGCAACTTCGCAGAAGCAGTCTCCCGTCCAGCTAAAGGGTGCTGTGCCTAACTATATGAAGTCCACCAGCTGTTCAGTTGCAAGAAAGGAGTGTTCTCAGGTAATTTCGCAGACAACTAAAACTGGTTCTGATACTAAGAATCTGCATAGAAGAACTTCCGGTTCTTCAAAACTGAGCCCTGCTTCGTCTGATAATACATCCCCGCAGAACCCAAAAAGGTCATCCAGTTTGAAACTCGTTAGGACTCTAACGAAGACCCCTAGTTTTAAGCCTGCAAGGTCATCAGTCAAAAGGTGTTCCAAAGTAGTTCTCTGTGCAGACATGGATGCACAGAGAGCTACCTGTTCTTCGGCTCTTAAGGACTCCAAGTTTCCTGAATACCTCATGCTTAATCCTGGCGGGACCGAAGCAGAGGGAACTTCAGCGATGAAGGTCTGTCCCTACACTTATTGCTCTCTCAATGGTCATCACCATGCTCGATCACCTCCTCTCAAGTGCTTCCTTTCGGCACGGAGGCGATTGATGAAGACCCAAAAGGATGCAAAAGTAGTGCCTCTAAGCCCAAACAATGAGAGTCTTGACAGTAATCCAGCCAGCGAGGAGGAAAAAATTGGACTGGAATTTTTCGTGGAAATTTATGCTAAAAATGAAGATGAAGACCCTTCCTCCATGGGAAGGGTCGATATCAAGGAAGAAATGGTTGAGTTAGACAGGGGAAGCAAAGAAGATGATACCGTGACTTTTGGGGTAAGTGCAGATGAAGAAAAAGCAGAATGTGCAGATGATGAGCACTGTGATGAGAGACCATCTGGTGTATCCTCACGTCATGAAGATGATCTTAAGCAAAACCTAGAAGGGTATAACGATGAGAGTGACAAAATGGTGGAAGGTGAGAGCTTTTGCAAAGAAAGTGTCGAAATCCTGGACTCCTGTTCAGAAGATTCGGGTATGGAGTGGGATGCGGGAGAGTATGCTGATTCGGTGCTTGATGGAGAAGAGATTTACTCAACAGAAGAGGATAATCTATCCTGTTCAGATTTTGAGTATATATCAGAAATACAAGATCCTACTTTGCATGAGATAGCTGCTGTCGCTTGTGAGAATATTGACAGCAATTGGAAGGAAATTTCCAATAATCAAGTACCAAATGAAGGAAAGCATGCAAGCTTTGAGGTCCAAATGCCAAGCCTTCTTGATATGGAAGTTGAAGGTGCGGATGAGGAGCCGCAGGGTTCTGAAGCCAGCCATGTCTTTGATTACTTAGACTATAGCGACGATTCGTCTCCAGAGGATGAATTTGAAGAAGTGAAAAACCCCAATGGAAGTGGACCAGCTTCAATAGAGGAGGTCATCACAGAAGTAAAGGCATCCTTTGAAGAGGCTGAAGAAGAAAACATTCCTGGTGCTGACAATGTTAATGCCAATGTGCTTTTGAATGCTGTTGGCAATGAATCCAACAGCTTGGACATGATAGGCAGTGCCCCATATGATGAGAAGAATAACGATGTTTCTGAAACATCCAAGTTTGATGCTCATCCAGGTTTGACAGATGGAGATTGCGTAAATGAGGAGGCACAAGTTCATACGGATCTTACCACCAAGTTTAGCAGCCTAAATGAGGAAATCACTCACAATGATGTCGGAGAGAGAATAAAAGAAACAGAGGATAATTATGAAATTGAGTCGGTGGCTACAATCCTGATTTCTGATCAGCCATCCGAACATTCCTGCAAAGCTGATGAAGACACTCCAACACTTGCAGTGGATGATGCTGAGGAGCAGGAAGATCCAAGAACTAAAAGATCTTACCAAGAGGAATACTCTGGTGGAGAACCTGATGAAACGGAAGGGGAGAAAACTACAGAGCCTGATTCAGCAGATTCAATCCTCGAAGAGGACAGTTCCACTGAAACGAAGTTGACGAGGATATACTCCGGGTTGAAGTGCAATCCTGACGAAGAGCCCTTTGATTCCTGTAAGAATTTGAAGGGCACGATCAGATGTAAAAGATCCGGTGAGCTGACCGAGGACCTACGGGATTTTAACCCAAAAGAACCAAACTATCTGCCACTACCTCCTGATCCAGACGCTGAACGAGTAGATTTGAGGCATCAGATGATGGATGATAGGAAAAATTCAGAGGAATGGATGCTTGACTATGCACTCAGACAAACTGTAACAAAGCTAGCTCCTGCTAGGAAGAGGAAGGTAGCACTTCTGGTCGAGGCTTTTGAGAAAGTCATGCCAACTTCGAAGTATGAAACCCATCTTCAAAGCACTTCAGCAAGCTTACCTCATGCAAGGCCCATTCAAACTTGCAGCTGAAAAAGATCCTAAAGCAAGGTAAAAACCTCCTAGTATTCCTTCCACTTTTTTCCCACTTTCAGAAATATCCTTCTAATTCATCTCTATCACTAATTCCTGCTGCAGGTTATAAGCAACGGCGCGCATTTCAAGCAGATTGAGAGGTCTGGCAGGCATCACAAGCTTGGCAGAGCATAACTTGTTCAGCTCTTACATTTCGGATCGGGCAGCTTGGTGAAAGGATCATGGGACGAACATCGAACTTCTCCGAAGGCAGGCAAACTACGAGTATCTACTTGATGGCAAAAAAAAAAAAAACACAAACTATTGCTTTTTTTGGTAAGAAAAAAACAAACTATTGAGTGTGAAGCTTAAACATATGCACTGCCAGTGCAATATATGGCGTTCGAATTTCCTTTTGAATGGATATCCATGTAGCCTCAGTTGTAGGGGCACTTAGCTCCAAACTCCCGTGACTTATCCTAGTTGATGTTTGTCTGAAACAACATATTGCAAGATCATGGTTATGCTCTAAATTGGTCTGGCAGTTGTTTGGCATTCGCTTACAGTTATGAAAACCTAGGTTCTGAACACCCCCACAAGGACTTCGTGCACTAACAGGAAACACTTGAGTTGAAAAATTGTATCTTGTTAGCTATACTCCCTATCAAAATAGGAAATACATAAACCTATTTAACTTCATACAAGATCTTTAGAGGGTAATGTCACAAAATGTTCTAGAAATCAACGACCAGAATTAGCCCATCATCAACCATACAAGCAACTCAGAGAGTTCAGCGCTACATGAGGTGTTCTCATCACCTAGCAATCAATACCGAGCCTATGCAAGGGCATGCATACTATTACTGTTACCTTAGAGCAGTTCTTTAGCCTTCTTCAAGATGGAAGAAGTTTGTGTATATCCATTACTAATAAGAGGCGGAACACCACCATAATATCATGTAATAAAAGCTCGCGAACTTTTATCTTCTGCCAACTAGTTGTTTGTCTTGGAAGGAATGTAAAGCAAAAATTCTTACACAATGGCACGTAGGCCGTCAACAGTCAACAACTAACATAAATTTACAGTGTAATTGCTGGTAATATAAACAATTTTCCTAGTTACCTATAAAATAAATCCTCGTAAAGGTACAAAAATAACACACCACTGAGAAAGCTATCCCCAACAGGCTAGGGAGACATATCTAATCTAACTTCAATTGCAGGACACTCGATAAGGAGTGATCTTAGTTCTGCAAAATAACTTCCCAAACGACTAGATTCCGAACTTTTCACCTGTGAACCCACAGTAAGGCCACTAGCTTCTGCCGCTTTACTTTCTTGTGTTGTTTTGTCGGACAGGATTTCATCACTAAATAATTTGAGAGCATCTGGTGTAGAGAGAGAATTAACAGACTTGTACAAGTCTTGGAACTTGTCTCTGTGTCCTTGATCTTCCACTAGCCTATCTTTCAACTCATCAGGAAGGCAAGCGAATGCACTTAATAGGAGTTGCAGATGGTCAAGACAAAAATTTCACACGTCAGTGATCAATCTCCCAGAATTTAGTTCGTCAAGACAAATCTCAATGTAATCTAAAAACATGTCATCATTAATTTTCTTAACTGTTTCTTTTACCTGGTGGCACCTCTAACAAGACCCCAGTTGTATCCGATGGGCACCGATTGCTTAAAACCAAGATTGAATCCCTCTTGTGCAGAAGCCTCTTTTCCGGCTATTACTCCATCACGATATCCGATCTAGCATTCGACAGATAAAGATTAGTCTTATCCAAGAAAGAGAAACCCAAAAACCTACAATTCAAATTTCCATATTACTGTGTAAAATTGATCATGCCTCCTTTGCCACTCTCTGTCCAAATCAGATGATTCACCGAATACCTCATCCGAATCATCCCATGCCAATCCATCTTTGTCCAAATCGGTCTCATCAATGCCTGAAGCAAAACATAAAAGACTCATACTTCTAAAGATCGATCTTCCAAGTCTCGCTCCAGACAAAATGCCTATAAAGGGAAGTGATACTTCTAAGAAATTAGAAATAAACTCATGAAGGTAATGTAAACATATATTGATGCCAAACTGAATAGCAGTTAAAAACAACTCTTACCAGGAAATTGGTGGTCATTAAGGGCAGCGGAACTAGAACTTAATTCTAGTTGCGAGAATCGCAAACTCTCAGAATAGAGCTCTTCAGCAATGTTATGCTCCATCTACAGAAGAAAAAGCAATCATTTTATTCAATTCTCTGATCATACAAGAAAATAGAAAAATTTCTAAATGGCTAACACAAATATTACAGTAGCTAAAAAGCAAAAGTGTGACTAATTATTCAAAACTTCCAAACTCATCATCCACTGACCATGCTGAATTGTAAAGAAAGGCTAATGGATTTCTAATTGGCAAACACGAATTATGAGTTAATTAGATAATGAATGCCATATTTTTCCAGTATTTTGCGCAAGATGCTGCCCAAATTCGAGCGAGGTGTAAAGCCAATGAATAACAGCAGAAAACCAAAGACTGAATCAAATGATGAGGATAATACCAGGATTCCAATATAAATAACCTCAAGCACAAACCAAGTAATTCCAGAAAAATTCATGACTTGCCCATCAGAAATCAGTTCAAGGAGGACACTTTTTGAACATTCAAGAAGGAGGAGAAGAGAAGAAGAGGAAGAAGACACCAGACAGAGAGAGAGAGAGAGAGAGAGAGAGTGGTTTTAATCAGTTCAGTTGGGGGAAATTAAAGGAGATTAGGGATTCCGCCATTTTTTAGCTTCTTCCGAATAACCTTTCCTACTTCTTCTTTTTTCGATAATTGCTCCAAATCCCCTTGCTTTGGCACCATTGCACTATAGCCCCGAATTTTGAAAAATTTCAGATTATCACCCTCAACTTTGGCACCATTGCACAATGACCTCCAAACTTTGAAAAGTTATAGATTACTCCTTGAAATTTGATTGTGTTGCAGTGGCTAGTTTTTCTATCTGGATAGCAATTAAACATTACCTTAAGATGGACCTATTCATATTTTTGACAGAAAAAACCTCTAATACATGGTTAAGAAAATTAAAAAAATATATAGAGGAGGAAATGCATGGTTGATGAAGTTAAGAAATTTAACACGTGTTATGTTTCAGTCAATAAAATGAGTTATCCATTTTTAGGTATCACTTAACGCTATGCAGATGGAACAACTAGCAACTTCAACAAAACTCAAGGTTCAAAGGCCAAATCTGAAACTTTTCAAAGTTCAGAGGCCATTGTGCTACAGTGCCAAAGTATGAGGGAGGGTAATCTGTAACTTATTACAGTTCAAGAGCTATTGAACGAAGGTGCCAAAGTTCGGGGAGGATTTAAGCAATTACCCCTTTTCTTTTTTGGCTTAATTCCCTAAGCCCCCCAACTTAAGCTCCAATCCCAATTCTACCCCAATCTTGTCTAAAGAGAATATAAAACTTTCATTTTAGTCCTAAATCTGCCCCACCTTCAAAAATCACTGATTTCTTCAAAATTATCAACTTAGGATTGGACCTAAAGTTGGGGGTTTTTAAAGAATTAGGCCTTATTTTTTTTTTTATGAGCATTGTCACCATGGGTGTTAGTCTGTCACAATACCCTTTTGTGCTGCTTGCTAATTAGTAGGGCTGTCAAATTGGTGGGTCCGGTCAGGTCAAAAATGGTCCGACCCATATTGACCCATTTCCGTGTAATGTACATTTAATAGCCCATACCCAACCTGTACCCGACCCATATTACCAAAACACATAAATATTTAAGTCTAGGAAAACCCATACCCACCCATTTAATCCACTTTTATATGTTACTTGGATAAAAACGTCACATCAAATTAAAAAAGTAAATTAAACAATAAAAAAATTAGTCAATAAAATAAAGAACGTAAAAAACCTATAAATTGAAATACTTATAAAGAACAATTGATAAGAGAAAGTCCGATCAACCAACCATTCACTTGAAAATAACATTTGCTTATAAGAATCTTCTAACATGCGCCAAGTTCGTTGTCAGTCAAGTATCGGAGAAGAATGTTTTCTGATGATAAGAGACGTGAAAGCTGAACTGCTAATGTTGACAAGTTCCTAAGGTTGTCCTATTTTGAAAATATATTGCATCTAGAATGTTGCACACTGAAGTATATAACAATGTCCCCTTGGAGTCGCTGTTTTGAATTACAGCAAGTCTAATTCGTTTTGCTATATGAGACTCTTTATAATAATTATCTTCTCCATAACTCCTGTCACCTAAGAAACACAATAAGGGGGTGCGAAATGCCTACATTGTGATATGGCAATTCTGGCAAATTTGATGACGCTACAATAGGATATAACTAGGATAAGAGAACAGGACAGATGTAGAAAAAGCAAGTAACATAGAATGATATTGCATCAGTCTCTTATTGATATAACTAAATGTGGAAGGAGCTCTCTATCCTGTGGATAACAATAATCTAAGGATCAATATAAATTCTGTTCTGTGATGTGTGGAAGGTGAGAGTATTGCATGTTTAAATATGATATTCATGAATTGGTTCTGTGGTGTGAAGTAGTAGTTGGAGAGCCAGCTTAGAGCAGTATAATCCTCTTTGTCTATGAGACTTTTTGTTTGGTTCATATTGGACATATTTGCCACTTACGATTATATTAGTAGATTCTATCAAAATTGTTTTTCTATAAGCATATCTTCTCACTTATTTTGATATGTCGTATTATATTTTTTTCCTGAAAGCAAAAAAGTTACTGTTCTATTGTTGCTTCTTGCATTGAATGCTTTTTTCTTCTTCTTTTTTTGCGAACAGAGTTGTATGTCCTCCCGTTTATCTTCTTGGTGGCAACGACCTTTTCCCTGGGCCTGGGGCTGGAATGTACCCACCCAGGTTCCTTGCTGATCTTTGCTTAGTGTTCGTTTTTTTTTTTTTTGTTTTTTACTCTGCCTTCACAAAACACAAAGTTCAGTTTGAGGAGCTTCAAATGCTCTAAACTCCAGAAGATCTTGAGTTACTCAATTTCTGTTCACAATTTTTAACCACTCGCAAGCCGCAACCTCTTATAATGATCAACTCAAAATGCTAACTTACCCAGCCGCTCGCTAAGGCACAGAGTTATCTACAAGTCAAAACAAGAATCACTTGCTAGGAACTTCACGGGACGCAATAAAATTCAAAACCATATGCGAGCCCTCATCCCGATTCGCTCTCATGAGAATATCATCAATCAGGTTGTGACTAATCAGCGCAGCCACCTAACAGGACAATCGAGCATATACCGTTCAAGATCAAGAATCGCACAACCAAAAAGGAAAAGGTTCAAACTTTGTAAGCCAAAATTATATAGAAACTAAGAGATTACAAGATGGTATTGAGGTCCAGCCTCCTTCAAAGTACTTCACGAGATGTACCTTCGAGTGACGATTGTCCGATCGGGGACGGAATCTGGCGGCGACGGCGGGGACGAGTGGAACCGGGAGAGGATCGGTGGCGAAGGGCGGAAGAAGCGGAGAGGGGCGGCGAGATTCGAGGGGGTTAGAGAGAGAGTGACGAGCAGCGTTAAGAGTTAGAGAGTGGTGTGGTGCTGCTTCTGTCCTCTACGGAGGGAGAGAGAAGAGGAGGTGGAAGGAGTCAAAAACACTATAATCCACTATAATCCAAGTGATTTATTAAGTACCAAATCTAAATATTTTTACATCTCGCCATATTTATTATTTGCCATGATGTCATACCAGTATAAATGAATCCAAAGATTAGACAAACAGAGATGATAAAAATCTTTCACGATACTTTTACCTACTTCATTTTTATTTGCTTGTTTTTTTAATTATTTTTCTCTCTTGTTTAATTCTTTTCTCTTTTTTATTTCTTTTTTCCCTTTCCATCATTCTCTAATAAAATTTTATCAAATGATAAACTATAATAATATACTAAAATATGTAATAAATATAAATAATAAATTTATTTTTATTTATATATATGAAATTTATATCATAAGATAGATAGAAATTTGCATATATAAATAAAAACGAAATTATTGTTATTCTGAATTTTTATATTAAAATTAAAGTATTATTTTAATTTTATTAATTTAACGAGTTTGTTATTCGAGAAAAATAACTTTGAAATCCTATCCACCTTTATCCCACCTTCCCATGTAATAATTTTATTCGGCTTATATTCTTTATATATTCGACTTTATTCTGTCATGAACAGGTACCAAACATATGATAAAATAAAATTTATTATATCCTAAATTTTATCCTGACTACCAAGCGTAACCTTATGGATTAAAAGTCTCTGTGATGAGTCCTAAATGCATGTCAACACAGACAAAGTGTCATGGTCCTAAGGACCGTGAACTATCCGAGAGAAATGGGCGACCCTCTCCAGTATTCTCTATAATGTTCATGAGGATGGACGATATTGTAATTGTACATTATTCTAGAGTCTTTTGTTATAAATGCGCATAGCTAGTAGTTGGGGAGATGCAATCTTTACCGTTAAATCGAGGAGAGATCTACAAATACGGTTAGTTCTGTACTTGTTTATAAAGAGATCTCCTCCCCATCATTTATACATCTCATTCTCACAAGAACAATACAAATTCAAAGTTTCTTGTGAGCGACAAGTTGACTTGAGACGATCACGATAACAATTTATATGGAATTTTTATTCCATAACAGGTCATGTAATTGACTTCCAAAGATATTGAGACTCCAAGACTAGATTTTTTCGAAGTTCTTATAAAGGGAATCGCCCACGACCAAATCCGACATTCAATGGGTGTTCAGCATCGCAACTGAAAATGCCCAAATTAAGGGAAACGAGCTTGAAATTAGCAGCTATGATCATCCAAGGAGAGACTAGAGTCATGAGTGCAGCCTTGCTAGGTGACGATTGTCCGATCGGAAACGGAGTCTCATGGCAGCGGCGGCGGCAACGGAGAGGGGTAGCAAGATTCGAGGTAGAGAGAGAGGATAGAGTGAGGGTTATGGATTAAAAGTGAGTCCTAAATGCATTTGGAATTTTTATTGCATGTCATTTAATTGACTTCCAAAAATATTAAGACTCCAAAATCAATTCAAGATTAGATTTTTGCGAAGTTCGGAATCGCCCACAAATTTTATATGCAGCTCGTAGCAGCATATCATCAAACAATTGTGTGAAGATAGGGACAACAGCAGATGCATTTCATCTATATGGAAGAAGAGATCAATCCAAACAAAAACAGAAAGAGGAAGAGAAATACCGTTCACCTCTTCTATAGGATGACTTGTCGCCACGGTAATCTGAGGAGCCCTGAAAAATGATTTCCAAGAGGAGAAAAATTGATGCGAAGGACCAATTCAATGCCGTCTCATGGTTGTTTTTCCGAAAGTCTCAATGGTCGGACGAGGTGTCGTGCATCGCTCGGTCGTTTAAGATTTTTGCTCTTCCTTCTAGCATTCGTTGTTCCGAGAATGCTCAGTATAGTGAGTTTTTGATGAGAACGAACAAAGTGTTTCATGTTGTGACAGGTGGGTGACGGGAGAGGGTTTCAAGGGCTGCTGCCACCTGTCCATACAGCAACACTACTGATCAGCAAGCCATAGCAGCAGAGGTGATCAGATGGGTGAATTACGGACCTAAAACCGAATACCAACTCTGTTAACCGAGCCGGTTCTAAGGTCAACCAGAGAACTGGCCCGAGCCTCTTTTTTTTTTTCTTTTGTTTTTGTTTCGTTTTATTATATGCACAATACGCACTTGTTAAACATGAATATAATTTTTTCTGGTTGAGGATAATATGTCAAACATATTCAAATATATCCTATTTTAAAAAAGTGTAAAAGAACTTAGATTAAGGGTAAACCGATTCAAAATCGGTTCGGTTTCACATTTCTTGGTAAAACCGGCCGGTTTAGGGTATAAAACCGGGAACTAGACCAGTCCCGTTACGAAGGGTAAGGCCGGTTTGGGCCGATGGTCCGGTTGCTCAGTCCTAATGGCTGCCAAACCTTGTCTTGTCTCTATTTGTTTTATTTACAGTGTTAACCAATTTCTTGCCTCGTGTTCGTGTACCAATGGAGATAATGAAGGAAAAGGCCTGCTTTCCATGGATGACATTAGGGAATTCTTGATTGATTATTTTCTCATTACCCTGATTAAAAGATTATGTTGGGACTGACCATCGATTTCTTTTAGGGTATCAAGTAAGGATTTCACTATTTTATATTGCGATTGGTTAATTTAATTAGTTCAATTGAGATGAGTGGTTGAGTTATCAACCTCAGTCAAGAAATATAGATGCAATGCAGATGCAGTCCTAGAAATTTCGCAGCTAATAAATGCATCTGCACCATGGGAAGAATTCTAAAGAAAGAGAGCAATAGCAACTTTTCTTTAATATACTAACAAAATTTATGTGGGCACAAAAAATTTAAGGAAAAAAGCGAGCATTATCTTTTGATTCTTTTTTAGAAAAATCGGATTTGTTTATTAGATGATATGAAATTGTGTTGACTTCTTCAAATTATCACTTTTTGCTAATTGCTTAAACATTATTGTATTGAAATGCCCCAGAAAAAATTTGAAATTGAAATGTTTTTAGAGTTAATATTTTTTTTTGGTCGAAATTTAGAGTTAATATGAAGATTAACCTTCATATACACCGACACCCAATAGTTACAAGCTTCCTTTTTTGCCCTTTCTGTCATCGTTGGATACAAAATCTATGTCACGTGTTAACCCAAATTTTGGACTCCATCTGGATCTTTCTACTGCCAATTGTTTTGCTTTTCTTTTTCAGCGGCTGCTTGGTTGTCTTCATCTTATCATAACATTAATGTCTTCATCATCATCTTGACTCCACAGCATGATTCCATTTCAAACCATTTTGCTTCTTCATCAATCAGTGGTTGCACATGAATGATCACATCCCTTTCTCACTACAATCATCAGAGCTGAAGCGGGGCTTGAGCACTTTGGCAATTAGATGGATGAAACTATCAAAGAAAGAGAAAATGCCAAAACAAAAAACAATAATAGGTGCTCCTTTGTCTCACAGTGATTCCAGAGATTCCACCATGTCCCTTCTCGTGTCTGCAAGTTCCATGCAAGACAAATCCAAGCTACTTTCCGTTCTCTCGCCGCAAAAACAAGCATTCCAAAACTAATCTCTCTCTCTCTCTCCCTTTCCCTCTCACTCTCACATGACATGACATGCCTGACGCAATATGGAATCCAATATGAACTTTCTGGGGTGGTTCCTTTTCCTCGTATGAGTTGTTTGTCATGTGTTTTGCATGTGAAGACCCCCAGATTTGCAAACGCACAACATGGATCCATAACTAATCAATTTGGGTACTGCCTACCTCATGCTCTTGCTCATTGTGTGTTTCCGTGATCTGGGTCGCTCGTGCCCACATCTCTGTACTGAAGTCTTTCCGTGATTTTTCTTTTTTCCAGGAAAGGAAAGACAACAAAGACCAAATATTTTCTGTCACCGTGACCCGGAAAGGTAGTTTCTCTGGATGTGCTCGGTGACCCAATTAGGCAGTTATCTAAATTTCTGCATCCAGCCCAATAAAGGCAACTCCATTGCCAACTTATCTACTTTTGTTACCTCCAATTTATCACACAATTTACCAGCGGATCAAGCCAAAAGGCTTATTTTTTGGCAATTTATCTTCTTTTGTTAATCCAATTTATCACACAATCCCTCATTGGCTCAAGCCTATTAAGTTACCACCAACCTCCAATCGAACCTCCTCGTCTTCTGTATGCAATGCACGTACATTGACTTTAAAAACTCTCTCTCTCTGTCTCTCTCTCTCTCTCTCTCTCTCTCTCTCTCTCTCTCTGAGTGAAGAGTGGAGTGAAGATTCAGTGGTGAGACGGAGATGGCTACAGGGTGTCAGAGAATTGTCTTGGGTATCTTGGTTGCCATGTCTGGGACACTTGACTCGTGTATTAGTTCTGCAGAAGCAGGACTACTACAGAGTGAGAGTGCAAATGGAGGGAAGGGGAAGAAACAAGAGCAAGAGAAGTGTGACATGTATAAAGGGCGTTGGGTGTATGACACTTCTTACCCTCTGTATGACCCCTCGGCCTGTCCTTTCATTCGCAAGGAGTTCGACTGCTTCAAGTACGGCCGACCCGATCGGCTCTACCTTAACTACAGATGGCAGCCCAAAGACTGTGACTTGCCTAGGTACATCTCTCTCTCTCTCTTTGTTTGCACGCGGGCATGTCTGTGCGTCATTCGTCCCATGTTGTCGTCATGTTCATATCATTATTCAGAATGTTCATAGGCTAGCGCGTGTTAATCTTGCTGTGTCTCAAGTCTTCTTGCTCACGAAAAGATGGGGAGCTTTGGAAAACTCACCTTTTCTTGAACGACAATATTTAATCAAGATTTTGCCAGTCCGTGAAAACTTTTTATTTGAGCAGTTGGGCTTTAGGAGTGCACAGGAGTCAAAAAAGTATTGAGTTCTTTTTGAGACCTAACGCTGGTGTTTGGTAGATTTAGCCAAAAAAAAACGCTGGTGTTTGGTAAAAGTGGTTTCTGCAAGAGAAGGAAAAAGAGCCTCCTCAAAGTTGCGAACCACTTGGTTCCTTTCCTCTACCGGCATTGATTTTTTTTTTTTCGATTCATGTTAGTTGGGCAATAATTGTCAGAAGTAAGTTGGAACTGCCTTTTGGTAAATTTTGTGCCTTTGTTCATCACGATAACTTACAAACCTCGTGACATATGGAGACAATTTTAAAGAGACATGAGTGGATACTCGCACAGAATTTTCATAACGTATGCATCCAACTGCTGCCAATGAATTACATGTTTCTAAATGATGCTGCAGATTTGATGCTCAAGGTTTCCTAAGAAGGTTTCAGGGCAAGAAGATTATGTACATTGGAGACTCCTTAAGCCTCAACAACTGGCAATCTTTAATATGCTTGCTTCATGCTGGCGTGCCGAATTCGAGCATCTTGCAGGAGACGGAGGGCTCGATTTCTAAAGTCACATTCCAGGTGAGTGAAAAAATTTTACTTCCTCAAAGAGTTAGATCAAAATGTCTGGATGATTAGCATAATAATGGACAACATGCAACAAGTAAGAAGTGAATGAGGAGTTTGTAGATCTTATGATTACGCCATCGTGCAGGATTATGGAGTATCCGTAATGCTATTTCACTCTCTATACCTGGTTGACATTGAAGTGGAAAGCATTGGTAGAGTCTTGAAGCTAGATTCGCTTAAGAGCGGCGGTATATGGAAGGACATGGATGTGTTGATCTTCAATACTTGGCAATGGTGGAACCGGAGAGGAGATAAGCAGCAGTACGTTGTATTTTCTACAGAAGTTGTGTTGTCATCAACTGGTTGAAAGATGCATAAACAGACCTCCTTTTTTTGGTCACCTGCAGATGGGATTACATACAAGAAGGTAATAGCACATACAAAGACATGGATCGGATGGTTGCATTTCGCAAAGCATTGATGACATGGGCGAAGTGGGTGGACTCAGATGTAGACACGATTAAAACTAGAGTCATCTTTCAAGGAATTTCGCCCTCTCACTACAAGTAAGTACTTTTCTTTTCAATCCAACTTCAGCAGAACAATGAGTCAAAAGGTACTGATTGCTTCGACAATTTGATGAGTTTAGCGGGACAGATTGGCAAGAGCCAGGAGTGAAGGACTGCTCGAAGGAGAAGCTACCGATGACTGGATCAACATACCCACCCGGGTTGCCAGCTGCAGCATATGTGGTGAAAGAAGTGATAAGTAGCATCAGAAAGCCTGCTCATTTGCTAGATATTACCACTCTTTCTCAGCTGAGGAAAGATGCACATCCTAGCATTTACAGTGGTCTCAAGGTTATGGACTGCACACACTGGTGTATTGCAGGACTTCCAGATACATGGAACGAACTCCTATCCGTGGCGCTCGCTGCTTGAACAGAAATACAATTGAAACGTGAGAACAGAGATTAGATGATGGAGTCAGGAGTAGCCAGATTGATCCGATACATCGATAGGATGAATATGTCACTCTCGAAATAAGAATAATGCTCATTGTTTTTTGTATTAAGGACAAAAAAGTCATGTCATTACTTTCATTTTTGCAAGTCATAACTTTGTCTAAGTAGAGGAGTGGTGCCACAATATTGGCAAAAAGAATGGTGACAGTAAGACCTTCGTACTCATTTATCGAATAAGAGATCACTTTGAATAGGGAGTACACGATATCCTCCGCCAAAACTAATGAAATGGCAGCAGTTCAACGGAATGAATCACTCTCTCAACCAAAAAAAAAGAAACAGAATAAATCACTCGAAAGACATGAAATTCCCCATGTTATCCACTTCCCACTCCAAAGCTGTCATTTCTACTCTTCTTCATCGCACTTCTCATATTTCTCAATCATTTTCTGAGCCAATAAAATATCATCACATAACAGTCCAGACCTTCATACTGGGAAGAAAAAAAAGCGAACTTATGTTCATTTGTCTATGACATCCCAGGACACAAGTTATGTAAGCTGGAAGACATGGTGGCTTAGGACTGATCAATAATAAATCGTCTGAGAGTGTGCTTAGCAACTTCCAGATAAAAACGCTAATTCATGTGATCATGAAGTTTCCTCCCATAGTGAGTATGCAACAATGAGAATGCAGATAGCACTCTTCAGGAAATAACATCATGTCTGTTTCTTAACCAGAGAAATAACACCATGTCCTAGCACATTAGAAAACAAGCTGCAGATATGATCTAACACCACAATTTACCAAGAAAAGGTCCACTTGACAAGTAGGGAGGAAGGAGAAGGATGGGCACAGGATTCAGTATATATTGTCATGCCAACATTAGACAACTAAGTAGATTCCAAAGAAATAGAGAGGAAGAAAGTCGAGTGACTAAGTCGAAATGAATATTTGGCTAGACGCAACCAAGGGGCAAAAAAAGTTAAAGATACCATCAAAAGGGGCAAAAATAATTTAAAGCAGTTACGGCAGAGAGGTGAGTAAATTGGAATCTCTCCGTCAGCTCACTATGCACGTGCTGAGAAAGAAGAGCTTCAGTTTCTTTATACAAAACATGAAAGAAAATTGGAAAATAGAAGAAAAGAGAATAACACAACTCCCACACGATCCACAATATTATTTTCTACCTCCTAAATCTCCAGGCTGAAACTGAAAACAGGGGTCTGTCATGCCAACATAAAAAGAAGCACCCATTCTCTTCTTTTAGGTTGTACCCGTCATAACCATAGCTCTGCAGCAACATCCCTGCTTGCATCAATCCATTGTAACTCAAGGACACCTTTCCAAACCCAGCTAGCTCAAGCCTCAAAATCCACTTTTCAAGCTTCTCATGTCTCTCCTTCCTCTGAATGCCCTCGCAAGCAATGATATTCTTAATTTCCTCTCCGAACAGCATCTTCTCAACCTTTTGTCGCTCTACCGATGCCCTCGGAACAGTAGACTCCAGACAATCAAACAGGGCACAATAGAAATGCAATGCTTCCAGATATCTCTCCATTAAGGTACACCCATTATGGTTTGATTCTTGCTCTGTAATCACCATTAGCTTAGGAGACAATCCCCAAAGAGAAGTCAAAAAGCTCCCCATCTTCGGTGATAGGTTACAAGACAATGGCGAAGATGCCGAAGCTGAGTCAGGACTAGCGCAATATAAATGGACCACATCTTTCTCAAGCCACTCTCCTAGAGTGCGCTGCTTCATAAGCAACACTCTCTGTTGATGATTAGAATTTGAACTGTTGGATGCAGAAGGTGAGGTCCTTCGCTGCGTCTCATCATCAGCAGCCAAGACAGTATGCAGCTGGAGTACAGAGCTTATTGCAAGTGCTTCACCAGTCTTGACGCGCAAACTTTCTAGATCGAGATTCTCCAGCTTGCAGACGATAGGAATGAACTGAAATGGGATATCTAATTTTTCAGCTTCTTCATTCAATCGAAAAGCCATTTGATCTAAAACCTCTTTCTGTTCATTAATACCCGTAATTCTCAAGTGAGGCGGGCCTTCTGGCCTAGCACTTAGTGACTGAAGAAGATTGATCCACTGAGCAGGCTCAAATGAGTTGAGGTCGATAATGTGAACCATCTTCTCCCCATCCATTGCTTCTAGTATGGCCTGATTAGTGATTACATATGCGAGCTTCAAGAAGGGGCAAAGCTCAAAAAATAATCGTTTGACAAGAATTTCCTCAGACACTGGGGATATTTTTGTCGAATTAAGGGCTTTATGAAGGCCTGGCCAACCTTTCAGTATCCGGTCAGCAAGTGCTTCAGTGAAGTAAGCAGCGATTCGCTGCATTGTATCTCCATCAGGAGAAGCAAGATGGGAGATTTGCTCGAGGCAAAGATTAGCATTCTCTACACTACCAGCAGCGACATGGTTAGCACAGCCAGTAAGATAACGGATTAACCACAAACCCCTGTCTTCAGGATTAACTTCCCTGAGCAATGGGTATGGTGATCCTATGCCAGGAGAAAGTGACATCAACGAAAACATCTGAAGGGGAGATGGCGTTACGGGTGATGATCCCTCGTCGTGAACCATACCCGCCATTGATGATGGGAAAACCAGGGATTACGACCTCACCTGCACCACTACAATGAAATCAGATCGTGCAAGAAAAGTCAATCTCAATGTCAAGCAGTCACACCAAAGTTCCTTTATTTTGGAAAAAGATGGAAGGACATGAGAACAAATGCAAGCAGGACTCCTCATTGCAGAACCCAATTTCAGTGAGAAGCTCAACCTAGAAAGGCAAAACAGTCATAGTAAACTCCAGTAATGAAAAAAAAAAAAAAAATCCAGTAATGAACAACATTAAACGACCTACCAAATGAAGTCGAGCATCTCACCACTGATAGAACATATTAATAAAAGGTAGTCATCTAACTTCATCAACTTCCAACCTCTTACACTGAGACGGTTAGAGTTACATACAAATTGATTCCTCAATGAAACACTTCCTCATTTAATTGCCAATAAAGAACACAGCAGCTAAAACAGATTTTGGCAGAAGTCTCTTCTACTGCAGCTGTCCGGTTTCTCACAAAGACCTGAAGAATTCACACCATTTGTTGCTCAATCTAGTCACTGACTGTAATCTCTTGGTTCATCAAGTAGTTTGAGCTTTCCAAGATCAAGAAAGTAATTACTTTCATTCCCAAAAAAATGAACCACATCATTTACTTAAGAAAATTCAAGCACATGCTATGCTATTTTCTTTTTCCAAAAAGATTCAACCCCAAGCCTTACTCAAAGAAATGAGCAGGATCTAAAGAATTACCAGATAAAATGTTGTGGATGCTTGCTTCTTGAATCAGTGCTCCAGCAGAGCAGCAGATATATGTTACTGAGCTGGGAATTTTGATGAGTCACAAACCCAGAAAAGACTCCAAGAAAATTTCTGAACTTGATAACGCAGTACACCTCATCCGTCTAGCTCTTGGTCCGGAGGTCCATTAAGAGCTATGTGGGTGTCTAGGGTTTTATTGCAGAGCGAGCCAATTGGGTTAAAAGCTATTGTCTTGATGAACTTTTCCATGGCTGCGTTGGCGACAAAGCACGAGGTTGTGTTTGTCGTCATTGTTTTGTTGTCTTTTGTTAGGATCAGAGGAATATGGAATTTCTGAAATCCAGAGCCCCCCCTCCTCTCTCTGTCTGTTCCAAAAAATTGTTTGTTCTCTCTCTTTCTCTCACTAGGTAGAGCTTTGTCTGGACATAAAGTGGAAGGGAATAAAAGCTGGCCATAGTTTGGGGCTATTCTCAAGAAAACTGTTAATCCAAGCATGTCATAACAAAACAAAACAACACCTTTTCTTGTTGCTTAGTGGGGGATAGTGGGGATTGCAAGGAAAGCCTCACAAGGCAAGTGCCTCCAAAATCTGCATTTGGATTCTTTTCCAAAGGCAAGTGAGAAGAGACCATCCACTTGGTACTTTGTTTTATTTCTTCCTTTTAAGATGTTAGGACTCTAAGGACAATGAGACAAGGAGATTGTGGAACAAGCCAAAAGTAGACATAAAACATTGCAACTTTACTGGTGGAGTCTTTAGGGGGGAGTTCTTGGAATTTGTTAATTCCATTCCTTAAAATTCCTATGCACATTCTATCAAAGAGGGCAAAAGAAATAAATAAAAAAAAACCCACAGACAATTTGTCTGAAGCAATCAAAAAGTTGGGCACATAATCTTGAATATTGGGATATGCAACCCAAAAGAAAAACCTTTGAATATTGGGTTAAGAGGAGTGGTACACCACATCATGGGTACTTAAACAAATCGATATGTTTCCTTAGTGGAAGGAACTGCAAGGACTTATGTTTATGTCCAGTCCACCACCATCCGTTTTGCCAGTCCCATGCTGGAGTTCTGATAAGGTATCTTCATTATAATTTGGCAAAAAAGAAAACAGGACTTGTGGTTTTGGTGGTGGTATGGTGTTGGCATTATTGGTTGCTAAATATGTCTTCAACACTAAAAAAATGGTACTAGCACTGCTATATACACCAAGTGATTCACCTTCTTTTACAAGCAAGCCTTTCTGTTGTTGATATTTCAAGTGAAATTTGACCGTCCCTTACAAGATTCTATTTGTCTTCCAGCAAACAAATACGAGGATACATCCTTCATGGAGGCATGATTTCCTTTTGACATGACTGGTTAATCCTTCTGTTCTGTTCTCTCTGAACCTACAAAACCCTAATCTTCTCTCTCTCCCTCTCTCTCTCTCTTCTTTCTGGCTTTGGGTTGTGAAGACAAAAGCTATGGTTTCTTGCTTGTTATAATTCGGTCAACAAAAACGTCCTACTCAGATACGCCAAATTCGCATGTGGACAAACGAAAGCATCTGTCTTTGCTTTACACGCTCCCTCAAATGAGGATACAAACTAGAAAGAGATGGTAATAAAGCAAGGATCCAGAATTTCTCTCTGACCATCTTTAGTTTATGTGGCAGGTTTTTCCCATTTGCCAAAAAGCAAACAAGCTCATTAGCAAACTATCGATTGATTTGTTGCTTCCTAGTACTGGAATCACAAGAACCCTCTTTAGACAAAGAATCAAAATAGACATGCCTTCAAACTACGCAGGTTAATTAGTATAAACTCAATAAAGGTTGTTCTTGTTTATGGTCTAACTCCATGTTTGACCGGATATTATGTTTGATTACTTTAAAGCGTCTTCGTTGGTGAGAGATTTGGTGAACTTAGGTGGGCATTTTCAAAGAGTTTGATACAATCATTGAACATTGAAAGGGAGAGGTGAATGGAGAGGATGTCATTGCTTTTGGAAATTTCCAAGATATGCTTGTTACTAAGAAAGACGATTTGTCCTCACGTCATGAAAGCCAACTTCTTGTCCTAAACGGTAAGATATCGGTCCTAACGATGTTCGTAGTGAGGGTGTTTTCAAAGGAACGACATCTTGTAGCTTTGTAGCCATCGGTAGCGAATTTTTCTAAGTCAGTCAAGCCTGGAGTCAGGCTAAATGATAAGGATGTCCTCGTGAAATTGAAAGAAAAACAAATGAACGGAAGGCCCCATAAGTAATAATTAGAAATAGAGAGGATGAAGTTAGAGAGGAGCCGTTTTGACCCCTCTAAGATAAAGACAATCTCGACGAAAGACAAATTTCGTAGTGCCATTTTACCGGCGAGGTGATAGGAAAGATCAAATCATCGTATGGAAATGTATAAAAAGCGTGGAACGGGCTTTCCATATGGCGCATCGGTGTTGGGTGTTGGCTTGAGTGTAACTTATTATATGATTCGTTTGATCCGATGAAATTTCACGACTTTTATTTGCTTCGTTGTGTCGTTTACTTCTACTGGGTAACTGTCACTCGTGCGAATTTTACATGGAATCGAAATGACCAAGCTGGCGATAAAAATGATGCTTTTGAAAGGAAGGAGAAGGACCCTAGGAGCATGCTATAAATTAAAGATAACGAGTGCGTCGTTGTGCTATGATTTTTCCCACATTATTAAATTGTTCTAACCTATGTTTTTCCCGCATCATTTCGACCCGCCGAATCAAAGGGAATCCTATGCCAGACGCGACAACTTGTTAGTGTCTTTTGAGGGGAAAAGTGCCAAAAAAGTCCTACAACCTTTTGCATTAGTGCGATTTAGTCCTAAGCTTTTTTTTTGGTCTTAGGTCAGATCCTAGCTTGGCGCTTTTGCGTTGGTGCTTAATTTAATTCACTAAACTTTTTTGGTGCCAATTAAGTCACAAAGGCTTTTAAATTGGTCTTAGATTCGATCCTAAACCTTTTGTTTTTGTCTTGCGATTTAGTCGCCGCCAAATTTAGGCCAGGAATTTGCCTGCGTGGACGCTTGCCGGCCGGCGGGAATCACCGGCGCCGGCGTGGCGCCGCGTGGACAACTTTAATATTTTTTTGAATTTTTATTTTTTTCCTTTTTTTTTCTTTTTTTTTCCACTTTTTTTTTGGTTGTCTTCCTCCTTACTCTGGCCGGTCGCCGGTCCGGCGACCGGCCAGAGGCCAGAGGCCGGCGAGGGCGAGCCTCGCCATGGTCGGGCGAGGCCCGACCTCGCCGGATCTGGCGAACGCTCGACCTCGCCCGACCATGGCGAGGCTCGCCCTCGCCGCGGCCTCCGGCGAGGTCGGGCCTCGCCATGGTCGGGCGAGGCTCGCCCTCGCCGCAGCCTCCGGCGAGGGCTCGAGCCTCGCCATGGTCGGGCGAGGCCCGACCTCGCCGGATCTGGCGAGGTCGGGCCTCGCCGGCGGCTGGGCGAGGCTCGACCTTGCCAGATCCGGCGAGGTCGAGCCTCGCCCGACCATGGCGAGGCTCGGCCTCGCCGGGCGAGGCCGCCCTCCCCAGTGGCCGGCGAGGTCGAGCTCGCCGGCCACTGGCCTCTGGCCGGCGAGGTCGAGCTCGCCGGCCACTGGCCTCTGGCCGGTCGCCGGACCGGCGACCGGCCAGATGAAGAAGAAACCAAAAAAAAAAAGTGGAAAAAAAAAGAAAAAAAAGGAAAAAAATAAAAATTCAAAAAATATTAAAATATTATTTAATTTGTCACGTCAGTTCACATCGGCGCGGTGATCGTACGCCGCGCGGGCATCCATCGTCTGAAAATTCCGATCAAAATCAATGGAAGAATAAATGAAAAATAAAAGGTTTAGGATGAATCAGCACCAATTTAAAAGGTTTAGACTTAATTGGCACCAAAAGGTTTAGGACTAAATTGCAGCCAATGCAAAAGTTTAGGACTGAATTGGCACCAAAAAAAGGTTTAGGACTAAATTGGCACTAATGCAAAAGGTTTAGGACTTTTTTGGCACTTTTCCCGTCTTTTGAGGATGATCACTTCATCACTTCACGGTGACGAAGATCATTACATGAAATTAACGAGGAACCATAAGTTTGTACGGGTAGAAAATTCTTATTCTTGAAAGATGGGTATCCTAGGAGCATCGTTTCTCTTTTGTGCCGAAGAGAAATATAGCCCACAAGACGAAAAACTAAACAAGGAAATGGATCGTTAAGCACGCACGAACATAGTATAGAAGATGGCAAAACGAAAAAGAAAGATTAACGTATATAGTATAAGCGGGATGATAGTCCAAATAATCATGAACCTATTACGATTGTCAATTCAATCATAAACCTTTCAATTTGACCAATTTAACCCTTCCAACCAATTTTGGCACGAAATCAATGACATGGACGTCGGCCTTTTCTTCCCCGAAGGGCTAGCGAGGGTCGCCGATGCAGGGCGACAACCCTCACCTCGCACAAATCTGGCTCGTCGAGGGTTGCCGCCATTGCCGAGCCCGGGTGAGCCCCGCTGGCCCTTTGAGGAAGAAGGATAGTAGAAAAAAAAACAAAAAAGAAAGAAAATTAAAAATTAAAAAAATTATAAGAATTACAAAAATTGTCTACATCAGCGTAGGCCTTTCTATATAGGACAACCAACAGCGCAGGCTGTTCTGTATAAGACAACCGTCGTCCACACCATCGATTTTCGGCCAAAATTGGCTAATCGCCAAAAGATTTAGGAATAAATTTGTCGAATTAAAATGTTTAGAAATGAATTGATCATCGTACAATACATTTATGACAATTTCCCTGATACACGTAAAAATTACACATCATTGATATGAGAGATCGATAGTTACAATTCTCAAATCAAAGGTTAATAAGGCTATTTGTGTAAGAAAATCTTTCACACCAAACATCATGAAGTTTATTTATTTATTTTCGATGTAAAGTATATTTGATAAAAACTAAGCGCCACATGATGGGGATTGGCGGCTCCCACTGGCCCCCTGGGTTCATCGTTGGACTCTAGCAGGGAAAGGGCAATGGTGGCCCAGGATGACACACACAGGAAACCTCGTTGTCTTTTCCATGTAACGAGTACGTTTCTAAACTATTGGCTCACGGAAAAGGGGCAAATGGTTGTTCACACAAATGCACTTGGGGATCCTTTCTCGAGGGGCTTGTTTCACACAGTGTAAGCTCAAAAGCAGATACTTCACCCTCTTCTTAGTTCTTTCCCCTTGTATTTAGTCAATTGTCTTTTAGAGAAATCGCGATCCCGAGCCACATTCCCTGCCAAGCATCCGACATTTACCATCAAACTTTTTCGAGAGTGAAAAACCCAAGAAAAGTTGAAATGGACCACAACCGCCAAAGACACTACTTTTTCACCATTTTTGTAATGCATCTTTTCACTGCAGTCCTACCAATTCTGCCTGCTTCTTGGTTGCAGCAAGCTCGTGTCTTGTCTCGCTGCGCGGTTTATGAAGGATCGACGATGAGGAAAACACTGGACATTTTCTAGGGGGATAAAATGCGTGCAGTGACATGGGTTCGAGACGATTAAACCAAAGTAACGTTCAATAATTTACAGTTGAGGGTGAAGACTAGACTATAGTCGGATGGATGGAAAAAGATGCAAAATGGATTAACATCATGTTTGGACTTCTTCCATTCTTCAGAAGTTAAAACTAACCTGTGCGCTCTAGAGCATCTATCGATCTTGGAACAGGTGTTCCGTAGATGAATCTTCTGTAACATAACTCCGCGAACTCAAATTTAGCTCCAAACAAGCAAGCCATGCCATCATTTTAGCATTTGACCAAGACATGGGAGACTTAAAAGGCAGATGTCTCGCCTTCAGCTATGTCAGCTCTCGATTTCCAGGGGTTTCCAGTCCTTAGTGAAATCTTTAAGATGCTAGGTCGTACAACCAAGTCCAACCCGAGTTCCAGATTTAGATCGACCTCACAGCACACCGTGACCAACAGCTATGCCACACGTTAACAAACATTCAATTGATCAATATCCAACAAAGTAGGGCATACTGCTGCCCTCGAGAGCACTTGATTAATATTGAAATAACAAAATCATATTCCTGTGCACATCCTAATGCCCACAGCGTTAATACATGAAGTTTTTTGCATTCACATTTTCCTCCCCTCTTTTTTTCGGTGTAGATGCGTAAATCTTTTGACCAGCATCCTATTGTCAAATTTTAAGAGGTAGCAGAAATCAATCACCCCAGACCAATCGGAAGATGTTTTTACTAGCAAGCTTGTTGACAACATTGTTGGTCTGCCTCGTTAGCATTTCCTCTTGGGCACATAGGTCACCATCCTTCCCAAATATGGAACAGACAAGGAATCAGGATTATAGTGAAAGAAAAGAAATAAAAATACTGTTCTGTTTCAATTGCATGAGGAAAACATTGCTTCAATTACACATGGTGCTATGTCACTCTTTGCATGCTCTGCATTTAGAGAAGCCAACTATTTCATAAAAAAATTCTCAGAACTGAGCTCTCATAGGACAGAATAGACATGGGCAGGAGATAGACTGGTTAAAAACATGTCAAGAACAGGAACCAATGCATAGAACCAAAAGTGTCCAAGAAATGCAGGAATGGCTTTAGAAGCTTCTTCTGTCCAACAATGGTTACTGTGACCTTTTATCCATCATATCCTATTCTTGTCATATGAGCTAATATATTTTGTACTTGCGCTTTCTAAACTATATATACTCAAGGATTATTTACATGTTTTACAGCGGAGAGAGCTGCCATTCTTGTAAAATCATGTAATATAATATTCACAATGTGCATATGAATAACTTCACGTACATCAGCACTCACCAGAAGAGCATAGGCACGGGCAAGAGAGAGAAGGGTTGGGTACATGTCAATAACAGCTATAGCAGCTTCTTCGGTCACTTGTGGAACCTGCAGACAGAATCTCACATAATTCGATCATCCAATTGTGGCAGATTTTATAAAAAATTCCAGCCATTAGACGTAAGAATCACTACTATTCCTGAAGAATCCAGGTCATTGGACACCCAAATCCACTGTTAATACTTCAAGGAGTTTCTCAGTAAAAAAAGAACATGTTTAGGAAAAGCAGATTCCGGAGTAAAGGTCATAGAACTCAACATTTATCTAGTACGTAATAACCAGAGAGAAAAAAGGGAAACACAATTCCATCAAAAAAACCTAAATATAATTCCAAAGTAACAGAAAGATCTCCCTTAATTGTTAACGGACACTTTGTCAAGTAATCTTTCACAGTTTAAAATATAACCAAATCTATCCTTACTATGAAAAGACCAAGTACCTGCATGAGTTGGATGGCAAAGACATCACTCACAGTCATTTTCTCCGCATCTTGGCATCTTTTGATAAACTCATCGAAAGGGGGGCAAACCCCAGTGCTTTTGGACTGGTCATCTTGCAATTGTGATGTGTAATAATGAACAATCGCTTGAGTCAGATGACCATACTTCTTAAGTGTATCGGCTAGACCGCTTGTTCTCTGCACGTCAAAACCCTCCAGAATCTCTGTCGTGAAACAACTGTATGTGATAAAATTACTTACAGTTTAAGAAAACTCATTATTAACTGATCAGACAATAAGTCATCAACACGAGAATAGGAAACCTGCTGTAGGAAAGCTTGCTACCAAAAAAAAGAGGACATCCTACATATGATAAATCCACTAACCAGCAATTACACCAATGTCACATTATGCAGAAAAATCACATATCGTATGCCCCAAGCATCTATGCAACTGCATTATTTTACTTCACAACGGAAACTGGCAAATCATAACATTACAGAATTTTCCATCTTGCAACCTCATCTGCATATAAAGGATTTCACAATTTTTAAATAAGGTGCAAGGAAACTACACCTATCCATGCCCAAGAAACTTCAGGGAAAACAACAAATTAAAAGAAGGGAATCTAAGAGACATTTCACAACCGTTCTACTCCACTTTATCATTCCTTAGTCTATCCTTGTCTTATTCATCAAGCAATCTCTATCCTTCTCTTCTTCCCACTTTCTAGTCTCTACCCACCGACTCCCCTCCTCCTTCCGTCTCTGTCCTTCCCTCCCTCCCTCTCTCCCTCTCCCCATAGCCAGCTTAATGATGATAGCCTTCATTGTTTTAACATTCCATAATTTCATTAATTTACAGAATGGCTAGAAAGAATGAAGATATGGTACCTCAGACGAGATACTTACGCTGTCTTGATGCTTTCGGCAGCTTCACACTGATTTGGATCACCTTCCACAAGGTAAATCAGCTTCTTAAGCCCACACCTCTAAAACATTTGTAATACCCAGTGTCAGCTTAATCATCGAATCACATCAAAAAGCTAATACACAGTGCACGATAATGGGATTCTCATCGGATTCTGAAGCCAGGATTTCATCAGTTTACTCCAACAGAACAAAAACATGATAGGTCACACCTATACTGGATGTCAAGTAAATTCTGCAGGAACCATAAGTTCTCTTACTAAGCTTTGCTCTCCTGCTTATTTTAATCACATTAGCTGATCAACTTTGGTGAAAAATTCTTTATAGTTGTTACAAACTATTGATACTAATATCAATAGCAAATTTTTTTTGTTATGGATACAGTAACAGACAGCATCTTTTTGTCCTAAATACCTCTACATGTCAAAATATGAAAGAATGCTTTGCCTACACTGCTAAGACACCAAATCAAGATAAAACAACGAATACAAGGTTTAACTTCAGGCTGCATAGTGCAAAATTTTGTAAAAGACCGTCAAAACAAAATAAGAAATGACAACTCTGCAGGTGACTATCAGCGACATTATTACACAGGTAAAACAAATTATAACATGCAAATGAGCAGCTAAATATTCGCCATCAGGGATTTACACAGTTACTAGATGATTTAAATAACTGTAACTGTAAGTACCAGTAGCTTGAATTTCTGATCCTTGTAGCGATTATCTCTGATGGAAGAACGCAAATCCTCAACCTTCTTTCTCTCTACTATAAAATCAAGAACATATTCAGAATCATGATATTTATGACGAGCTATCCAGATTCCATCTCCTACTGGCAGCCGCCTGACCTGCAAATAATTTTGGTGAAAGCAATACAAGGGCAGTCAGGCAAGTTCAAGAGCAGGCACCTGTCAAACTATCCAATACCGCTTGCCGACGGAATCTATATAGGCCTCATGTACATGTAGTCTACCTCCACCTGATAGCTTACATTTTTATATTGGACTCTCTCACAGCTTTTACACAAAATCTAAGACATTATCCTTGGCACACTTTGTTGACTCAATGTGTGTTAATAACAACTTCAATTTTTTTTATGGCATGAATGCTAACTTGACTAGTAGAATTAACTTCCTGCTCTTCTACTTTACTTGATATTCCTGAAGAGCAAGCACTAACTTGTCCTATCACACTACACAGGTGGAACTCCCTTCATCTGCATGATATGACTCCTGCATGAAAGGCCTTCACTTCAAATTTTCTAAAGCATTAGGACATTCGCTTTCATGAAACTCGTGCTTCTTCCGTCATAGTGGAGAAAATACTATCAATATGACCGCAAGTTGAGCATTGTTTGCACAATTCCAGGATCAAGAACATAACTTAAGACGTGCACCATGGAAATAAAGCCAGCAGAGGATCGCAAGAATTCTCCAGACACATTTCACGAAAAGGTTATTCATTATTGCACAGAAATAAGATCATCTTCAATTTCAGAGTTTTTTTTTTATGTTAAGACAAAAAACACATGAAAACCATATTATTCTACCGACAAACCTCACGGAGAAAGAATAAAAAGTCTTTTGTCTTGTGAAAGTGGTGAATTACTCATGAGCACTAACCTCTACTTTGACGTTAAATTGGCTGCAAATGTTGTCAATTATTCTCCGAGAACGTGACCTGGCAATATCACGATAGCAGCATCAATCGATAGCTAACATTAATGATAGACTCAATGGAAAAGAACCACATTTGTGAAGCCAGAAATTGAGAAAAATAACTTGTGTTTGGTAAGAGCTGAAAATTTTTGGCCAAAATTATATTGTGAAGTTTCCTCAACACAACCAACCACTTGGAATCATCTGATAGATTCTACTATAATGGTGACTACTTTTGTACAATCGTACCATAAAAATCCATCACCTCACCAAATAAAGCATCCCATATACTGCACATATTGAAAATCAATAAAATAAAATAAAAACTGTTAACTGACTCTAAGAACCACAGAAGTTGCTCAAAATGCCATCAAAATAAATGTTAATATGCATCTACCAAAATAAATAGACATGTAAAATCTTAAAAACAAAGTAGAGCAAAATGCATAGTACAACTTGCCAAACTGGAGAGAAGAAGATAGCTAGGAGAATCAAACTCAAAACTTACTGACCCACGAGTAGCAAATTGCTCTCGGTCATCCAATATTAAGATTACTTCATATACATCCTGGAACCTCTCTCCAAAATTGAGAGGCGGCTTGCTTAAAACATTCATACTGCCCTCCACACTAAAAGAGCCTGATCCACTCGCTGGATAATCCTAAGAATTCAGGTGTAAAAGAAAATGAGAAATTGTATCACCACAAACTGATCAACAAATATTTGTGGAAAAAGATATCCAATCAATAAAGTGCTAAAGCTGATATCTTATATTGATGCAGAAACAAAAGAGGGATAAACATATAACAACTAGCAAAAACCTTGCAGCACTATTCTCATCTTAGAAACCTGAAATAGAATGTCAGATATTTAGCTCAAAAAATATAGGTTGTCCTTATCATGGTATCACAAAAATGAAAACAAAGGATATTGAGAGCACTTAAAATTTTCCCAGATCAAGGGTCAACATCATTTGGTAAAAGGGAATACATGAAGAGAAGCAGTATTCTCTAGAATTGTATGTGAAAGTACAATTGTAGATTGCAAATTCATGAAATAATGTGAAATTTGTCTATTACCCAGCGCAAACATACATTGGTGGAGCAAGGTTTCATGGTAAAAGAGTTCTGTGATGATTCCATGAAGGAGTATTTTGTGTTGGTTACATCATCACAGACAGGCTCCTCCCTTGTACTCTGACTTCCTTCAATGTCTACTTGACCTGATTGTAGAAAAACAAGAAACTCCCCACTTAGAATGTTTATAATCCAAAAATGTATGGCAATATATGTGGTAAATTATTACAATTATCATCAGTGATTATTTCAGAGAAAGTGATTACCATGTGCCACTGCAGATCTGGTTGAAGTTGAACAACGTTTCATGGCAAATGTGGTTGAGGTGGAACAACCGTATACTTGATCCTCTCTGAGGCGACATTGAATTGCTGGCCATAGAGTTGAAATATCCCTTCCATCAGAAGTTTTTGAAACTTCAGCAACAGCACAAAGAACTTGCTCCTCCGCATACCCCATGCCCAAAAACTGGAAGATGAAAATACAATATTCCATATTAGACAAAATATGAAGCTTCCATCAAGCAAAAAATGCTACCTTCATAGTACAAAGATCGTTTTCATAATTTTGGATTCATAACAGTATGAGCACTTTTTAGATCAAATAATGCAGATATCAACAAGAAGTCTATTTTCCAAATCGACATCAGCAAAATGAGAATGTCTCCTCACCTCAGGTCATGAATGACATTGTTCATGAGAATAACGTATGAACAGTTTTTGGTCATTTTAAAGCCTTGTCTATAACACAGCTTCTCCAGCTAAAATGATCAAGGACATGGATGTCTTTTTTCCAATTTCAGCATTATAGACACAAGATCAACAATTTTTCCTAGAAAATTACACTGCTGAATTGCGATCCCATACCAAGAACATGAAGACAAGACAAGCACTCAATTAGTAAGACCAGTTAAGCCAAAGATACCACACTTTGCATTGTACGTCACAAGTGTAAAAGGAGATATAACTACATATACCCATAAGCATCCCTAAGGAAACAAAAAAATGCACTGATAGCATGAGTAAGGTTTTGACAGTACATAGAAAAATTTCATTCTCATCAAATTCGAAAAAGGAAAAAAATTTTAAAAAAAAGGCACAAAAGCACTGCATTCCACGTACGTGATAGCAAGAAGTCAAAACAAATCCAGAACTAATAAAAACATCATGAACAAGCCCAAGAGCAACTCAAAATTAATTGATGACTGCTGAATAATCAACGGCTGAAAGACCAATATGTCTGAACTGTTTGTGCATGTGCTCGTTCATCGTGGTATCCGACATATGTCCACTCTGTAATTTACTTAACCAAGCAATATTGAGAAGAAATAATTTACTCTCTCAAGAGTTTGAGGGGGAATATCGGTTGGGTTTTGCCGCTTTCTCACGCAAATAGGTTGGACTGTCAAATCTTCAGAAGATTCAGGGCTCACAGTCTCCAGATTCACCCCATTGACCATGTCCAGGTCAAGAGACCCTTCTTCGCAGTGAGATGAGTCCGCCAAACCAGACCTCAGCAGACAGTCTCGTGCTGCATCCTTGCCTTCCTGAGAAAGCATGTATCTGTTTATGGACAAACTCTCATCAACCACTGAGCAAACTACAAAGCAATCACATGATAAATATCTGTCCAGATCTGGATCCCTCAACTAATTAATTAACTGTATGCTAGATACTAACAGACAATTGAGAGAACATGATCTGCAAGGTCATTAAACGAGATGCTTCTACATCTATCTGTTTAGGAGATACCGCAATTAACAAAAATAGCAGACTCTCATTACAACTAGTGCACCTTCATCCTTTAATTCTTACTCCATGAAATGCAATTTTTTATAACAAATAAGATGCCTTAGCCATTGTGGACATAGGCAGTCATTCATGAACAAAAAGTAGACTTTTCACCTGGTTGCTCTATGGTTGAATAATCACTAATATCAGAAATTGACTAAATTTGCATAATCCACTGGAAATGGAAGCTCCCACATCCCCATCATCATTTCATTTCAACAACAAAGATAGCTTTGAATAGCAGCAGATTGAATATTATTAATCATTCAAATATATATGTGCTGAGAAGTTACAAATGGGAGTGCAATGAAGGATAGTCATCCAACATTCTGAAGGCCACAAACCAATGAAAGAAAGTGCAAGATAAGCAGATCTTAGCAAAAGACATTCACGAAATTGCAAGATAAAAGAAGTGCTATACTTTGCTGGACAGCTAGATTTCATAACTAATCCCTTAGTTATCAGTGTCTTCATGCAGCTCCATCCACTGTACCAGTCCCTTGGAGAACTTCCAAATTGACCAGGTTTCCCTTTTCCTTTTTCTGGACTAAGAATAGAGCAATGTGGTTACAGAATGAACTGTTAACTACCTATTCATAGAAAAAAGAAATTTGATGAACAAAGGACCTACACAATTGGGGCCCGAGAAAGTCCACTAGCTTCAGCTGCGTCAATGAGCTCTTGCTTACGCATGTATTCATTCCCGTTTGAGATTCCCCTGAAGAAAAACCAACTTAAAAATTTAATTCGCAGTCACTACAAAATATAAAGCTGAGAAGACGACATATTCTCTACCTGTAAAGAGTAATCAGCAATGCGTAGGCAACAGAATTCTTTTTGGGAAGATAACGCTTGGTTCCTTTGGCATTCTTACCTGTGACAAAAAGAACTTGCTTATTTCTTGGAGATAACCAAATGAATTCAACATCTCAATCCGCGTGAATCACTTTTGATCACTATGCTAAGTAAAATATAGAGTTTTAGTTCGAGAAGAACGCATTCAGACTACCCAGAGGATACCAATATACGGACAGCTCAGTTCCTGATAAGAATTGCTATATGTTACAGCAAAACATAAACTTGCAAGTAACATTAAGAACATGAATCGAGAACAAATTTAGCTATAAGAATCAGAAAGAGAAGGGACTGATAGTACCCTTGGTGGTCAAGTCTTCATTTTCAGAATCGGGCGTATCGTTCTCAAAATATCGTCGCACGAGCTTCAGAATCCACTTCCCAACGCCCCTGATCCAAAACGCCCACACGAAATGCACAAGTAAACATCGCACTCGAACTTTCGAACGTATTCACAATGTCCAGGATGCTTCAGCAAGGGAATTCTATCCCGAAGAACGATTGAGACTCCCCGAGAGAAGGCGAAAAACTCACTTCACTTGCGATAACTCCTTGAGGGAGCTTATCGGCGACTGGGACCGGGAAACGTTGTGAATCGCCCTGGCGAGAGTGGCCTCCGCGTTCTCCGACAAGCCCTTGGGGGTCTGCGAGAGCTCGACCTTCGTCTGCAGCATGAAATGCACGAGCCCTTCGTTCGAAGGGCACGCCGCTCCGGTCGGGCCCTCCATCCGAGACGGCGACGGTGACGGCGGGGGTTTCCCCAGCAGCATTCGACGGCGACGGCGACGGCGACGGTGACGACGACGGCGACGGCGACGGCGGGTGGGTCCCCTCCGATTTTCCGATCGGCGTTGGCGAAGCGGAGCGATCCTTGCTTGGCTTTGCTTGAGAGAGGATTTTGAACGCTGAGGAAGAGACGAAGAGAAATAGCGGTTAATTCGAAGGATTGAAAGGCCGTGGGTCGGGTCTGGGTCGGGTCCGGCGAATCTGGAATCGGTGATGGGCCTTCGGACTCGGGTAAGGCCCGACGGGTCGAAATCGGGTTCTAATTGGACCCGTTGTTGCCGGGCAATGTCTGCAGTCTGCACGTCTCGTGAGCTCAACATTGTGCATAGCCCAAAGGTGTTGGGTCGGGTATTTTAAACTAGTCGGATCTCGCATCTTTTATTTTTGGGTTCGAATGATCTCGCATCTTAAAAATTTGAAATTTTACATCCGATCATTACAGAGAGTAGTTATCTGGTGTTTAGGTCAGGAGAAGGTGATTTTTAGTAAATTCTCTGGAAGTAAAAAATGAACCGAAAAAAAATTAATTTGTGTTATGTTATATAATGTAAGGCCATGCTAATTTCACTCCTATATTGACTCCATCCACTGCTTGCACTTGCACCGCCCTATGCTCGGTGACACAGGTTGTAGCCAAGACCTAGTTCAATATGAGATTAACCACCTCAATCGGCCTCAATCCTAGCGTCCGTGATGGCATGCGCTTGGAGCTAAAAGCAGCGATAGGTGGTGGCCGAGGGCAAAGGCATACGCACTTGTGAGCTGGGGCAGAAGCAAGTGACGAATGACGTACGATGGCGATAGTGTGTGAAGGCTAACAATGGCAATGTCACGCTACCGACTGGCAAAGTCTTAGCGGGCTGATTGATAGAGAAAGAGGCGAAGGACTTACGATGATACTTTTGTCATCTCTTTTTTACAATGTTTTTCGGAGCTAATTGGGGTGGAATTAGCGTCCTTGAGCACGACCAACGAACACTATTCTCATGAGCGTGAAGTCACGTTCGTTTGCGGTCCAAATAGCGGGTCCCATGAAAACATCTTCCTTAAAAGAGCCTCACCTGTAGCATCACCGATTGCATGTCCCGTCAAGATGACTGTTTTTAAGGAACAACGCAAGAGCACGTCCGTCCCCCACCCACCCCCCCCCCCCCCCTCCCCCCCGCCGGTTCGCTTTCGATGTCCTATATAAACCCCACAAATTTCACTCCCAAGACACACAACATACACAAGCTCACACCAAGAGAGAAGCAAAAAGAAATGGCGAGGTTTGAGCTTGGTCTCGCCGCGGTGGTGGTTTTGGCCGTGGCGGCCGGTATCGTGACCGCAGGCGAAAGCAAGGCGCTGGTCATGGCTGAACAGTCATGCCAAGGCGACATGCAGGGGCTGTCGACTCAATGCATGCCCTTTATCCGGAAGGGGACACCGCGAACGCAGCCTTCGCAAGGGTGCTGCGACATGGTCAAGAACACCGACGTGTCGTGCGTGTGTGAGCACCTGTCCCATGAGGTCGAGCAGCAGCTCAACATGGAGAACGTCGTGTATGTCTCGGGGTACTGCGGGAAGCCGCTCAGCCACGGCATGCAATGCGGAGGTAATCAGAACAGAAGAAGATAACTCGTTTCTCTAGCTCCTGCATGTTTGCTTAACATTCAGATTCAAGAACCTAAGTTATCAACCTTATCCTAAAACGACCCTTTTTCGCAGGCTATACGGTCCCATGAAGTCGATGGATGTTGAAGAGAGCTAGCTCAGACATGAGGCGACAAACCCTATATAGACCAAGAATAATCTGTCCGTTTTCGATGTAACTTTGAGCTATGCATTCCATGTTGCTCAAGGGAAAAGTTATAGTGAGAATAATACATGGAAAAATAACGTTCGCCATGTTTCTGGACATCTCCAAATTGTAGAGGATTATCCTTTGATGTGCATGCATCTATGTATGTTGAATTTATAAGCATGTGTTGGAGATGCGACTGAAAGCATTTTATCTAAGTATCTATCTATCTATCGATCTTCTCATTAGTTGGAAAGATGTGTCCCATGATTTTTCATTTTGCTTTGCAAACTTGCTAGCTCGTTGGTTGGTTCACCAACTCACGACCAGCTCACTGAGTCAAGGAGAGTGAGACTAGGTTTCGATGCTGCCCTCACCTTCACTCACTCCCACCTCCTACTTCAACTTTGAGGCTTTTTTTTTATATAGTTTTACATGCATTTATGCCTTATTTTATGCGTTCTTTCCAAAGATTGTGGAATTAACATGTACATGACATTCGTTAACTCGACAATATACTACTTTGTTGCGCTATGCGATAATACAACTCGATGTCGATACAGAATTAGCATATTTGAGTTCACATAAATCCTATTAGTGAAAAGAAAACATATATATAAATAACTGTAAATATATATATGTATCTAAACTAGATAAGGCGCATGGATTATTAATTTCTTGACATGAAATAAGTAAAATGAGTTCCATAATATATACTGTTGCGAAAATGGTGTGCATTGATCCAATGTTAATTTAGTGTCTCTCAAGTCATCTATATAATTCCAAACTCAAAATAAAAGAAAGCAGTGATTTTGGTTTCATGAGAAAGGGTTATTAGCAACATCTGTTGCGTAAATTATCAATTTAAACAAAGGTCATCTTAAAATTTTCAAAGATGTCTTACGCAGTAGAATATTTTTGTTCAAAAGATTATCATATTTGTCTAAAATTTTGGTATTTTTGGAATTATCTATCACGAAAACGCGCTCATTGTCTCAATTAGTAAGTTGAGTGGATATGCAAGTATTGTCTGTTTAAGATAAAATTTAATTTACCAAATCACTTTCTCTTTAGTACCTCCCATCATCTCTCTTAAAATTCGCACAAATCTCGAGATCATAGCAAGGTTATTACTAAATAAGGTTATTAAATAAGATCATTAATTTTGATTGAGCCATGCCAATTGCGAAATACAATGGACTTTTTCAACAATCAACTAAAATTGTTGCATCACGTGATAAACACATTTTAGTAAGAAGAATTCAATATTTCATGCCTTATTTCGGTGGGGAAGAAGACAAATTTTATAGATTGAGGCATGAAGCAATTTCAGAAAATAAGTAAGGGGTGACATTTGCTTCAAACCCCTAATTTGCGTATTTTCCTTACTTTATATATATATATAGCTTCTGATGCTTTACATTCGATTATTGGGGCATGCTTGTTTCGGCTTAACATAAAGCTTAAAAGGCAAAAAGTAATTATTTATTTTCCCGTCAAAATTTAATATGTTAGTTTAGTTCAAAAATCATTTGCAAAAAACATATGTGACTAGAGTCGTAAGTTTTTTATTAAAAAAAAGTGAAATTATGTCTAATATCTCAAAATATCAAAAAGTCGCGATGTAATTACTATGTCGGCATTGCGCACGCACATTTTCGGTTAAGTTTGCATGTCGGTAATATCTAAATTTATTAAATAAAGTCATTTAAATCTATTTTCTTTTTTTTTTCTATACGTTTTTGAAAACTTAATTTTTTGGGTTCGCAAGCAAAACGAACAAGCTCGAACCCGAAGGAAGAGCTGCAAGCCGACGGCCGGCCCAATCCCGAGTCTTTTCCGAACGTTGTCAACTCCGACCTCGGTAACTGATCTTCCTTCGTAATCCAATCACACTTTCTTGCTTCTCTCTCTCTCTCTCTCTCTCTCTCTCTCTCTAAACTCTTCTGAAATCAAATTGTTTCCAATCCCAAAAAGATCATTTCTTTTGCGTGCAGGATCGCTTCTTCTTGAATCTCCGATATTGGGTGATCTCGAATTTGGTATTTTTGTCTTCTTTTTTTACGGGGGCCTTCCGTTTGGGGATAAAGAGAAGGCGAGAGATGGAGTACAGATGCGTGCAGTGTGGATTTAGGATCAAGAAACTGTACGTGCAGTACTCACCCGGGAACATTCGCCTCATGAAATGCGTAAAGCTTTTGACTTTAATCTCATCTCTCTTCGAAACGAGCTCTCTTAGGTCGGATGAGCTGATGGGTCATCGATTTATGGTCTTTTAGGAGAACTGTAAAGCGGTTGCTGATGAGTATATTGAATGTGAACTCATGGTGAGAACTCTTTCCTGTGAATTTCTTTTTCTTTTTTCTGCTGCTGATTTCGGTTTCTTAGTCTCTGTAAAATGAGTGAATTTCAAGGTTTCTGTGTGGTTAGATTCTGCTGATTGATTTGATTCTGCACAAGCCGAAAGCATACAGACATCTCCTTTACAATGTACTCAATCAAGAAACAGGGGAGTGCAAGGTACGCCCGCCTGCTTTTACTAGCTCTGGTTTTTTGCGCTTAGTGCAATTGAAATCATTTCCATTGACATGGGTTTGGAAATCTTTTGATGGACTTGGCAGGGATTGTTGTGGAAATCGGCCTTGGGTTTTCTTGCTTTGGATGCTTGTATCTTTTTATCTTGAAGATTTTAATCAATTAACCAGATTGCTCCTCATAATGTGTTTAGTATCCTTGTCCATGAGCTATGCATAAAGAGAACAAATTGCCTTAGCAAACTCAAGACAGGTGTCTATTGCTGGAAATGGCTCGAGAAGGATGGGATGCGTCAATGAGCTTCAGCTCTGTTACTTGGACGTGTGTAAAGGTCTTTTTTTTACTTGCATTAGATGGATAGGTTAGTTTTTGAGTTGTTTCAAGATCTTAACAAGCGGCATTATCAAAGCTGCAGATATTGGTGGATGTCTTTCTTGGGAACTTTTTCCTCTTTTATCTCCTTCTGCTCATGACGAGAATCTCTTTCACATTACCAGTTGGATTCTCCAGGTGAACTTCGATGTTATTTTTGTATACTTCACCTCGGTAATAGTCAAGACTAAAACACTTCTAGTTCTGCTGTAAAATTAATCCACTTCTATTCAAGGGACAGTTGCTTTTGTTTGAATGGACTTAGCCCATTGAAGAGGTGTCATTTGGTGGATCACTAGAAATGATAAATGTGATATGAACACCCCTCTATCTCAGGAAGAAGATGCTATAACCTTGTCTTAGAGTGGATCGACCAGAAGTCTTTCTTGTATCGTGGCCACAGGATACACGGCAAAAGGCTACTGGTCCTCTACGTAGTGTTTAAATGAGATGAAGAAAACTTTTACTCATTTAATTGGATTGACAATTGTTAAATATAGCATTTACTCCTCTTAAACTATGTAATATTATCCAAGGATGTAGAGAAAGCTAGTATGTTGTATTTGGCCTATAGCATGCATTAGGTACTCTCTTTTTCTAATCGAAACTTGCACTGTGCCTTTATTAATATGTTCTTTGTTTGAGATTTTGATGTGCATTTCATTTCCTAACCACATAGGCACAAGGACTTTACGCTTGCAATCCTTGTTTCAAGCTACTTCAAGCTTTTACTATTAGCCATGATGGTAAGACTTGGGCTTGGCAAGTCTCCAGGGAACACCATCATTTCAGCTTATATTACATCTTCTCTCCCCAGTCTACAGGTTCCCACCATGCCCTCCTCCCTTTAAGTTCTCTGATGTTTGGATTCGTGATGCTACAGATTTGGGAATTTCCATCATCAGTGGTTTTCATCATTGACCTATTTGTCTTGTCCTCCAATGCAATGGCTTTGAAAGGTTAGATAATTAAACAATTGCACAGATGATCTATGTACTCGTTCAAATTTGCGTGGCTCTGATAAATGAAACTCAATACTAGATTCTGTTCCGTTAGCCCCCATTTTCTTCCATTTTTCCTTGATCGGTGTCTTTGCCTTGTAAAGCAGTGATCACTGAGTCAACCACGGAAAAATGCATAGGAGCTTGTTTCACTGCACATGCTGCCAAATTTTTTGCCAGTCATGTAAGTCCACTTATGCAGATCCTTGCTAATCAAACTTATAACTAGCTTTCTTAGCTTCTAGCGATGGAAGATCAGTTAGTTTTTAAATTTTTCTTATCCGATTGATTTTGGTTCCAGCTTTTGAAATGGTGCTTTGCTTGACAACCCCGTGAGGTATGCAGCAATCTCAAAATCATGCATTATGCTATGTTCACAAATGAGTTCGACACATTGGGAAACTGTTTTAGGATCCCCGCTTCTCCTTTTCATGGCTTCCATTTGATGGAGGAAGAACGAGGAGGAAAGGCCTCGGTTGATATGTCGCGACTTACTTTGACTTGTCGGCCTTCTGATGGCACATATGGTAGAGCAGCTTCAGATGAATGCTTCAAAGATATTGCAAATTGCTGGCATCTCAAGTTCTGAAGCAGTATTTTGGACAACCAAAGTCATCACACATTGATAGGTCTCCATCGCAGCCTATCACACGACTTCACTGCCTGTTCAAAGCAATGGTAACTTTTAAGTGAATATTTTCACTTTTTGCTGTGTCGTGTATCCAGCTTTGGTTCCAATTGTTTTCTCGTCAGCAGAAGTCGTTAGTGAGGTTAATCTGACCAATGACCCGATGCTTGCTTCAAGAATATTTAAGTGTTGATAAAGCTAATTACCGAAGTTGTCTAGGTTACTTCTGTGTTGATATGGTATCCAATGTAGAGAAGAGAGAGAGTAGTGTAAAAAACTCGAGTGTTGAAACGGGCCGGGTTGAGCCCTTCTATCTTGCTGTCCGTTTTTCTCGTCTATTAACACGGCCTAGACCGGAGAGTGATGGTTGTTACTAGAATCCACATGATCTATTGGATTCGTTTATCCTCGATTCCGATAAGTTGTCCTGTGTAAGGGCACTTGGTAGCTGCGCCAAATCTACCGAACCAAGACAGATGCATATGTTAATTGTGATAGGGGTCACTGTGGGAGTGGAAGATGGTTAAAGCGATGGGAGAAAAGAAATGAGACTTTGCTTATGGTAACTGGTAATGAGTGTTTATGGGTAACTAAAAAAATGCTAATCACTGTTCTATACTGTTGATACAATTACATACCGGACAAGGTTTCTGTCGTTACAAACCACCGACCTGACTACGCAATGTCCGCTGACTAAATGCGACTCTCTGCATGCATTGAATCTTATGTTCGTTCTAGTGCATAAACACCAAATCTGTGCGGCTAGCTACAAAGAAAACAGTCATATTCTATTACCATCTTTGCTGGTCCTGACTTAGAGAAAACCCGACCAACGCCAATCTTGGAACATGGAAAACCTTCAAGATACGCATTCTGGTTAGCATGAAGTGCCCAAATTTTTTGAATAGGTTGACCTTCATGAATACTCTGTCACCAAAGTAGCTCGAAGCTACCCCGAACAAGAGAGGCGAACGCGTGACATGCTTGCTTAAAACGAGTTTCATAGTTTCTTAACCGAATATAATAGTATTTTCGGATTGAAAAGGCGACCCAAAGCCACCGCGCGCTCCTCATTGGAAGAAGATTCAACAGCTTTTTTCTTTAGTTGATGATCACACGCGGCTGTGTTATTAATAATCAGAACCGTAAAATGATTCTTTCATGTGCCTTCTTCATGTTGCAAAGCTCGAATTAGTTCTTTATGGTCTAAGACAACTTTTGGAATTATAATAGACAGCCGGCCACCATGTTCCGAGGACGAATGTTTTGAATACTGTGGAGCACAAGGTAAGGGATAGACAATAGTTTAATGAAATTTCTTTAGTGGAACAACTTTACTATTATGCAGGTGTCCTTATGTTGAAAAGTCAAAAGCTCTCTCATGTAATTTCTGAGCCTGAATAATCTTCACAATCCATGCCAATTTCTTCAATAAAATTATAATACATATACAAAAAAAGAAATAAAAGTAAGGTTAATACCACAAAAAATCTCAAACTGTGATAAATTTACACCAAAATAATTTTTTGAACACCAAAAATTCTAAACTAATACATTTGTGACAAATACACCCTCCGTTAGTTTAAGCTAAATTGGATTAATATCAAGAAAAACTCCAAACTGGTACACTTTTGACAAACGGAGGTAAAACTCTAAACCGGTACGTCTGTCAACTGCCATGAGCCATCCATCTTAGCAATTTAACGGTAAAAATCAATGAAAACTAATGGAAAGTAAATTTATCACAGGTGTATAAATTTGGGGTTTTTCATGGTATTAACCCATAAAAGTAATTGAGATGTCAGTCACCACAATTATTGAATCTTTTTTTTTTCTGGGGTGAATCGCATCTATTACTATAAGTACCAACTGTATTCGTGATTAGCAAGAGAGAAGGGTCCAAGGGGGGAACAGAGAGCAAAATAGGTCTATGATTAGGAATATAAAAACTAAATTAGGTGCCAAATTGGGTAGCTTAGCTCCAATAAAGAGAATGCCTTTTGTACTAGAGGGTGTGAACTGTGTGGAAAATTAATAAATTAGTTAGGTCACTATTCACTAACTTGTAATCCGGTGTCGAGTACTATAGTCTCCAACTAAGGTTCCCACATAAAATTTAGAGGATCGTTATGAGTCGATGGACGAGACGAAGCTTCGAAAAATTTATGAATATTTTAGGGAAGAAAATGTTAGGATTAAGCGCACAAAGATAGCAAAATAGAGAGTAAAAACAGGAATGAGAAATCGAGACACAAGATTTTATCATGGTTCACTTTTAAACTCGGGCTACATCTAATAGATGATTCAACTATAATTAGCACCTCTCACCTTTCTGTTACAACTTTCAATTACAAAAAAAAAAAGATTATATATAGGTAGCAGCTATTCATGGACCTAAGCCCAAACTATCAATAAAATATAAGCCCAGACTATAAAACTGTACGGCGACTCAAGGGAACTGCCCCAATGACCCCCGCTAAGATGGCTCCCTTTGACCCCCACGCCTTCCTATCGATGGGGAGTATAACCACACTCCAACAGAAAAGACAGCGCTAATCGTGATTATTTTCCCACACATTTTTTTCTTCTCACTAAATTGGTCTAATTTGGGTAATTAAATCAAAAGGGTGAAAGCCATTCAAATTTTATTTATTTTTTGGTCAGAAAAGTCATCCAGTTTGCCAAGTGCAAGTTCATGGGTAACTTTCACTTGACGTGGAGGTGAATGACCTAACCCATGAAAAGATAAGCTTTGATAAAACTAAAATGAAATCAAGAGATAGGTCATGTCCAATGTCCATCTATCTGGTCAAATTATAAAACCTTAGCTTGAACAACCTAACCCTAAATAGTTTATGGACGTAGAGGAGATGGTAGGAGGCGTTCCTCAAACTCAAGGGTTCACATCTTATGCAAGAATTGCAGTAAAGAGTTTGACTTATGTCTTATTCTTTGTTTATCTTTATTCCGCCGTATTCAAAGAAAAGTGTTTGGCACGGTTTGGATCTTTGAACTTCCCACCGTCAATTCGTTTGAAGATGCCAATTAATCAACCAAGGAATTATAAAGATTGGACGAGTGCAAGGAACTATGAAACTTCCTGCCCCGAATGTTGAATGGAGCAGCAATGTCGCAGCGGCGCCGACGGAGGCCGCTCTTCTGAATTTGTTTAAGGACAATATCTGACTCTTAACTGTAAACATGTTGTCGCCTAAACGGCGATTTTCATCCTTGCCAAATCACTCTTATGTTTGCCTATATGAGTTCTTTGCTTTACATTAGTCAATCGCGATTTAAAGCGGAAAGCCAAAAACTTTTCCTTTGCATCAGTACAAATTCTGCGTATCGATTCTTCTGAAATATTTAATATTTTCGATGTTGTGTCGTTGCTTTTGCCATGCCATGGTCCATGGTAGGCTTGAAACAACTGTTTCACCAAACGGGTCCAACGAGGCCTCGAATTCTTGGTATATTCTGAGCAATTAGTAACGAGGGAGAGGGGGTGGCGGTGGTCCCTCCTGATAACCTAATTTGCGTGGAGTAAAGTAACGATTTTTCAAAGTAGCCGTTGCACCCACACCTGGAATTAATAATTTAAAAGAAGAGAAATTATGCAAACCCTGTCCCTCAAGGAATCCGTGTGTGTCCTACTTTACAACTCCGCTCCACTTTAGGAAATTCCTCTTTATAACACACACCCATCATCGTCCATCACAGTAACGTCTCTCAAAACTGCCCCCTCCCATCTTCTATGTTCTGTTCCTTGATATCTTTATTAAGACATCAAGAAAGCAAGTTCTTTATTGCTTTGGCTTCCGATGGATCTTCTTCATGTCCCAGATGTTGCAGTCTCCATTCCGTTGTTGTCTGCAACGATAACAAGCAGTAGCTGCAGCAGCAGCAGCAGCAGCCTGGGCAGCGAAACCGACGATAGCCCTGTGAATTCGCACCGGTTCGAGCTCCGAGACGTGAAATATCAGCTCCCTTGCAGCCCCTTTTCTGGGTTTCAGTCGCACAAGCCATTGGCAGTTTTGTCTGGCCACGTGGGTTCAGTTTCTTGCTTGGCCTTGTGTGGGGAGTTCATCTTGAGTGCCTCACAAGGCAAGGACATCATAGTGTGGCAACAGCCTGATTTGAGGCTATTCACAAAGTTTGGCCAAGGGGATGGCACTGTGAAAGCCCTTGTGACTGTGGGCAACAAGGTGTTCACAGCACATCAAGATAGCAGAATCAGAGTTTGGAAGGTCTCAAGGAGATCGGAGAATGTTTTCAGGCTTGTCGATACGCTTCCCACCACGAAGGACTACTTGGGGAAGTTCATGAAGCAGAGCAATTATGTGCAGACAAGGAGGCATCACAAGAGGTTGTGGATTGAGCATGCAGATAGCATCTCTTGCTTGGCTGTGTTTCATGACTTCATCTATTCAGGCTCTTGGGACAAAACCCTCAAAGTGTGGAGGATATCGGATCTGAAGTGCTTGGAGTCCATAAAGGCACATGATGATGCTATCAATGGGTTGGTGGCATGCAAAGGGATTGTGTATTCAGCTTCTGCAGACGGGAAAATCAAAGCTTGGGGCAAGGAGGGAACAAAGAGCTCGCACTCCTTGAAGGGCATTTTGGAAGGCCACAAGGATGTTTCTCTAAATTCGGTGATTGTTTCGGAAGATGGGAAGTGGGTTTACGGAGGAGGGTCAGATGGGTATGTTATGGGGTGGGAGGGAAGTAGTAATTTTGTGAGCTGGAAGTTGGTGTGTGAGAAAAAGGCACATCAGATGGCTGTTTTGTGTATGTGCATGATGGGAGAGTACTTGTGCAGTGGTTCTGCTGATAAAAGCATAGCCATATGGAAGAGAGAGGCTTTTGGTCAGATTTGTAAGGTTGGCCTGATAAGTGGCCATGAAGGGCCAGTAAAGTGTCTGCAAGCATCACCTCTCAGAGTTGGTGTTGGGTTTATGCTCTATAGTGGTGGTCTTGACAAAAGTGTGAGGGTATGGTGGGTTCCCAAGTACTCTGCCCAGAAAGAGGACACAGCTGCACTACCATTGAGTACAGAGAAAAGCTCTATTTTGTGTTAGAAAAAGTTTCGGATTTCTGAGAGTCATGAGGCACTGCTGCTGCCTTTTTTCAATGCCTGCAGTGCTTCAAATCAGTTTCGAGACGTCCATAGTACTTTGAAGGATCAAGAAGAGTCGCAATTCATTTTGTTCAGAGTTTGAAGCTGGGTCTTGGAGGTCTTGATTGTTT